TTAGCCTAGCTAACCTTGTCATCTCGAGGCCCACACCGTTGTGTACCGTGTTTTTTCCTCTTTGGCTTTTGTATTTGTTAAACATTTTAGATGTGACACGCTATTCTCTACTCTTAGTCTCAGAGATACTGGTTGAATCTTTTTTAACACCTTTCGGAAAGAGACAAGCAAGGTGTTTCCTCGTGTTTTCTGTGTTTATGCTAGGTTTAGTTGACCATCGGTAGCTGTAGCTTGATATTAAACACAGACATTTGAGTGGTATATCAATCATCTCATATTACTTTGGCTAGAAACTGAGCATGCATATTCTTCACATACTTTTTTCTGTGTGAGCTTCTATTATATACTTTTTAAATAATTATTCTTTCCACAGTCCTATAGCCTACTGAGTGAGTACATTCGCACCATCTCCCTGAAATCTCTGCTGTTTTTGAGCAGGTGACTTTGCAGAGTTTCTTTCTGTCTCAGGAGGATTTCACAGAGAAAACATTTGCCTGAACCTGATGGTATGCTCATTTTAGAAGTACACACAAACTCTCTTCATTCAGTCGTGTCTTTCTGTAAAGTCTTCTACATCAGATCCTCTTCCTCTGACTGCGGCTGGGCTGATGATCCAAAGCTGACTCAGAGGGGGAAACAATAGTGATCAAAAGCTAACCCAGATAGTGATCGACTGTCACCAAGCACATACATAAATAGCTTAGCGTGCTATTTTTGCTTACGTCAACATATAATAGAATAAAAGCATCTACATGTCACAGCCTGAATAAAATCATGTTTTCAAAACCATAAAAGCTGGAACGTATGAGCTCACTGCCCTGTGGCCCGATAGGATCTTTTTATATTACTAACAATAAATCATTCAAATGTCACTGTGTATGAACCCCCTTAACACTGTAGTTTTGTAGATGTAATGTTTGCCACACTGATTTCTAAGACCAAAACGTCCAGGAACGATTCAGACTGCAGACAAGTAGTGTGATTAAAAACCAAAGTGTCTGTCATTGTAAAGTAGTGTTTGTATATGAGCTGCAGCCAAATCTCACAGAGTCAAATGATTACAGAAACAAGGTCAGAGAGTTTCTGCCAAATCTAAAGACCACTCAGGCACACAGAGTTAGCCCTGCCTGACATAGTCAGCATCTAGATGTAAGAACCAACCTTTTTGTGAGTTTTTTTTAATCCAACATAATTTCAAAATATAGACATTACTGAGTCCTTATCCAGCGTTCAAAACCTCAAGAATTCAAGAATGTTTGAAACTGAGTTTATTTTATTAATTTTTTTACAATCCTGGTATTACATTTTAAAGTTTAAATAGGAGCAATTTTCACCCACGACAGTTTGTTTTCACTGTTTTGTTGTGAAAGATGAATGAGAAATGATCAGTCTGATTTTTATGAAACTTGGAAGAAGCCAGTAGCATGAGCAAAGCACTACATCCCATCTTCACAAACAAGCAACAGTATTAACTGGACTGTTACACAAGCATCTATATGGCAAAGTAAATGATGTGTCGCAATAAAACATTCAAAAAATTAAATAAACTCAATCACATAGAACAGTGGTTCTCAACTGGTGGGTTGGGGCCCAAAAGTGGGTCCCGGATCCATTTTCAGTATTGAGCGAGTGTGTGACTGGAAAAATAATGTGTGAAAAACAATCTCATTGGTTAAAAAATATCCGAAATTTGGGTCGCTATTTGTCATTAAGGAGTTGGTGGTGGGTCCTGAGGCTAGACCAGCTGAGTGTCACTGACATAGAATAAATGCACAGCTGAGATAGTATCTTAGGGTATGCAGACTTGTCTTGTAGTTGTGGAGATATATACAGAGGTAAGTGCGATATATTTGTATAACGTGAAAGATTGGACTATTCTCGAAGGTCTGTGCTCTCTAGGTGCTTTTCTAGTTTAAATTCACATCATCAAATTTGATTTAAGATTTCACAAGACTAACTAGAAAGAATTCAGTGATTACTTTGTATTTGTCATCACACGTTTCCACAAATTCTGCTGCTCTTGTTTGAGCTCTACAAACTTCCCTTTTACCAAAGCAGAACATAAGCCCTCTGCAAATGACACCGTGTCCCTGGTGAAAGACTGAGCTCTGGGTTGTACAGTAACAATCAATAGCAATGAGCAAGCATCAGAGTTTTTATTATGTGCGAGGCCCTGACTCCATCCCCTGCCACACTGACTAATCTAATTGGAGTCGACGCAGACTCCCCAGCTGAGCGCTGCTGCCAAAGAAAGAGAGGAGACGGAGATGACAGAGAGAGCTTCACAAATCGTCCGTCAGTCACAGACAATATGACTTCCTGCTATCCATCGACGCATACCACTCTGCGCTCGGCTAACAAATCCTCACCTCTGTGCTGATAGCAAAGACTGTTGTTATTATTTTCTCTTGTACATACTTTAGTAAGCTCTATCACAGGTGTGTATCCACTCTGCTGTTAAAAAACTATCCAAGGCTGAGTGGAAAGTATGTTATTGTGTTTGTAAAGCCCACAGACTTTAAACAAAGATCAGCAACAGACTTAAATCTCAAAATATGACTCTACTTCAACTTTTTTTTTAAAGATTTATTTTTGGGCTTTTTGTGCCTTTAATGGAGAGATAGGACAGTCGACAGAGTTGGAAATCAGGCAGATAGAGGGTGGGGAATGACATGCGGAAAAGGAGCCACAGGCTAGATTTGAACCTGGGCTGCCCGCTTGGAAGATTTCAGCCTCTATACATGGGGCACTCACACTAACCAATGCGCCACCAGCGCCCCAACTTTCAACTTTCAACTTTATTGTCCTTGAGGGGAAATTTGTTTCGCAACCATGTGAAAACAATGTGAAAAAAAAAACATATAGAAACACAGGCACATAGACACAGACAATAGAAACAACGAACTCTGTGAACAACATTAAATACTAAAAAAAAAACAAGGGCTCATCAGGTAACAACTGGAAACTGGAAACTATCATCAAAACCAGAATAAAAAAACTAATTATCAGTCATAAGGGTCATCATTGGAGTTCAGACACTTGATGTCCTGAGTTGTTAAATGTTTTTTTTAACCTGTTGGATTTGGCTTTTGGCAATGTGTATCTCCTGCCTGAGGGCTGAAGCTGCACTAGTGTAGTGTTTATATGGTGTCTTATAGTAGAAACACACAAAGAAAAAAAAAGAGTTCAAGAAAACAGTTGTAAAATTCAGCTACTTTTCATTTAATGTCTATTTTTTCTCATGGAATTGATTCCTGATAGTGTCAGTGAAGGCACCAAACCTACTTTACTCTGCTATCCATCCTGGCTGGGAGTGATGGAGAAGCTCCTGTATTGAGCAGACAGTGTTAATTATTTAAGTATGAATAATTCAGCTTCTGAACGATTGAATGAAATATAAATGCCCCCGGTCAATAGTTGCCAACACTTGAGAAGACTTTGGACTCCCTGTGGGGGGATTTGAGAGCCAGTGATGGGCTGCTTCTTCTACGCCAGACCACAAAGTGACACCCGAGTTAAATCATCAGCTGACATGCTGAATCAGCACCAGCGCTTCATATCATTCCCGTCAACACTGCATCAATGCTGCATCAATTTCTTGAGTATTGAGTAAACATGACATCCCTTTCCTCCTTCAAAGAAAAAAAATACTATTCTGGATGAAAACATCGTGGAGTGTAAAAGTCATCTAATCTTTATGTGTAACTATCTTGTTCTGCTTATTTACACTTTTTAAATTTCTATAATATCCAAATACAACATCATGTGTAAAACTTTTGTAAACATACTTGATAAACATTTGTTTTCCTCGCTGTGTCTGATATTTTAAAATCCTTCATAAGTAAGATATTCATTTTAAATTTGATGACTTTTTCTTCAGCTCTATTAATAAAGAATTAGAGAGCAGCTTCCTCTGTGCTCCAATAATAAAGGATAGATACATGATCTTTTCCCTGTTGTTGTCTCGTCTATGACTAAAAATTCATGAACGCCATCTAGTGGTGAAAATCCCAATGTGCATTTCTACCTTTCATATCTCTTTTAAAGGACTGAACCTTAATATTTGCAGTCTATGGACAGAACCCAGAAGAAGAATAACATCTGGATTTGTCTTGAATTTTACAAAAGCCATTTCACAAATATGATTAGACTACATGATGCCCAGTTCCAACTGAACAGATCAAAACTGCTGTAACACGATAGCCACGGAGAATCTCCACTATACTGAATGAAGAATACATGTAGGTCAATCAAAAGTGAAACAACTGCTTCATCAGAACAAAAAAGCACGTCTTTTAGAGAGTGGGGATTTTAAAGTATTATACATTTGTAACTACAAAATAATAAGATTATGAATATTAGTTACATAGAATGATAGTGCTTACAAAGCTTGACATAAAGCAACCCTTGGCTAATAGACAATCCTAATACAACAATCTACAAGTTATTTACATACTGTTTTTATAACTTTGTAGTTTTTGTTTCAAAGGGCCCATGTATGTGTGTGTGTGTGTGTGTGTGTGTGTGTGTGTGTGTGTGTGTGTGTGTGTCCTCAGAATGTCTCTCAATAAGATAGTGAAAAGTTGAATTTCCCCTCTGGGATTAATAAAGTATATGAGATTAAAAAATATAAATTAAAATGAGAACATTTGGGGGAAAAAGTGTTTTTGCAGAAGATCGTATCATTGGTAACCCTAGATGAACCCTGACAGTGAAGAGTGGGAGCATTAACAACGAAGGCCTGAGACCTGAGGGAAAACCAGGCCCTGAGTTTTTAACAGTCCCACTAAACCTGATGGTACTGCGGTATGAGCCCCTTTCATGGAAAATCCACTATGTCATTACTGTTGATTCATTTAAAAAAAAAGAAAAAAAAACTTCTGACTGAGTTCCTGTCATTACAGGTGGATGTTGACACACTGGCCTTGTTTTCAGACAGCGTTGCTGTGTTTTTCTTTCTGTGAGTGTTCATGCAAACAGAGGTCTGTACTTTGGATTGACGGTCAAGTTTGAGTGTGTCGGTATATAGGAATAATTAGAATGGACCTGTTTTCTTTCTCTTTCTTATGTTTGCTGCTTTTGGACTCTCAGCTCTGGAGCTTTGGAGGTATTGAATGTCGCGTCTTTATGCTGCACATAGAACATTGTTTGTACTTTTTACTTTTAGAGCCCTGTACGTAGAATAGATTTTCTATTTACATGATGTATGTACAGCAAAGTGTCTCTACTTTAGTTGCTGCTTCGACCTCTCAAAACGACAATCTGAACATTTATTTTCTTCCATTGATTATAGCTCCAGCTCCAGCCTCAGGCCGCGTGTTTTTGGCCGGTCCGGCAGCAGACAGCGTTCTGCGGAGACACAAACGCTACAACACTGGTGTATTTGAGGAGTTTCTAGAAGGTGACTTGGAGAGAGAGTGTACAGAGGAAGTGTGTGACCTGGAGGAGGCCAGGGAGATCTTTGAGAATGACGACAATACGGTGAGAAAATATGTATTTTATACTATGAATCTAAAAGTATTTTTTGTTTCTCCAGCCATTCTGATTAAAGACTGTACTCTGTATTTTAGATGGAGTTCTGGGTGAGATATACAGGTAAAAATGAAATGTTGCTTTACCTTGTTGGTCTAGTATTATTGATTATTATCATTAGTAATCAATGCCATAGATATTCTCTTGACAGGTCCTTATGATTAAACATTTCATCTTCCTCTTCCCTTTTCCCTGAGTAAACATTGCTTTGTATAACTAACCTGTACAGAATGAGGTCATCGTTTGAGCTGAGGTTCTGTGTCTGAATTTTTCCAGATGGCAATCAGTGTAAATCAAACCAGTGCCTGAACCAGGGGTCATGTCAAGACCAGCTCGGCTATTACACCTGCTCATGTTTGCCTGACTTCACTGGCAGGAACTGTGAGATTGGTGACTGGCTTTTTTTTTTTTAAATGTCATTGGAAGAAATGTGATTTTTATGCTACATGATACAAATTGTCTCCAAAAATGAGATTAAATCTGATCAGAGCTCCATCTCAGAGGATAAACATCCAGATGCCTTTTGTTCCTGCTTTCTAAATCAAATCAGTCGCCTGCAGTGCGTTGTTTAGGTCCTAAAATTAGATTGTTTGTTCTCTTTGGAGAGTCTAAGAACAGAAGCTTAAGTGCCCTTGCTGTGAGTCCTGTCTGCATCTACCTGAATCATGTTTTATTATTATGTTGCGTTTGATTGTTTTAGTGTTAAGGAGAAGTTCACTATTTTTTAAGTCTGTCTAAAAACAATATTTCATGGCCATATAAACCTTGTGTTTCATTAGGCTTTCTTCTTCTTAGTTGTATCAAAAAGGTGTGATGTGAATAACGGAGGCTGTATGCACTTCTGTGAATCCATGGGAACCTTCGGCGCAAAGTGCTCATGTGCCAGAGGATACAGGCTGATGCAGGACGGCGAGAACTGTGAAGCAGCCAGTATGAACCGCTTCCAAATGAATTTTCTGCTAAATATCTTCCTAATGACTCCTAATTCCACCGTGTAACTCGTCTTTTCTCACATCACCAGCTGAATTTCCCTGTGGCAGAACCGCTCTGACAACGTTCAGTGGAGTATCCACGAGGTCTCTGCTCGGCCAGATAAACATCACTTTACCGTCCAACACCACCTCTACTACACCCCCTCCCTCTACTCCAGCCAGCACACAGGCGCCTTCTACAGCAGCCAGTGACTCTGTTAGAAGCCGATCCTTGAAGAAATTGCCCCTTTGGGCGTTGAGAGACGCCGAGGCCCCCAGTGAGGAGCAGCCAAATGTTTATAAACGCATTGTGGGAGGCAAGGTGGTGCTTCCAGGAGAGATCCCATGGCAGGTAGCGTATGGAGGTAGACGAGTTTAATGCATGTCAGGTTTGGATACAGAACAAGCATGAGAGAAAAAAAAACAGCATCCTTATTTTTGATATTTCTCTCCATCTTTGATTCAGGTGGCTTTAATAGCTCGTCCCGGTGGTCAGTTGTTCTGCGGGGGCTCCATTCTCAGAGAACGCTGGGTAATCACTGCTGCTCACTGCCTGGTGGAGGGTCTAGGCTCCTTCTTCGTCAGATTGGGTAATATTCACTGCCACCAAAGAAAATGTGTTATTTTTATTTATCTTGTGTGGTAAAAAGAAATCTTTAGTCTGAGACATTTCTTCACCTTTTTTGATTAGACTTTTTAAACATTAAATTCATTAGGAACACAACCTCCAGATACTTTGTTAAAATTTGTTGTAACTTTTGTTTTTGTTGTGTTATTTTTCTCTTTTATGATGTAATGTTGCTGTCCTGGCAAAGTTCAAGAGATGTACGGTTAGAGTTGAATTAGTTAAAAATAGAAGCAATGATTATGGAAGCCCCAGAGTTTAGTTGTATGTGTCATTGTGTTTGAAATACTTTTTGATCTTGTATGTGTTTTGGGTGTAGATTAAATCTATTTAGAGAACCAGAACTATCTGAATCAATCTCTCTCCTCAGGGATGCATAACATCTACATCAATGAGGGCTCAGAGCAGGATCATGAAGTGTTGGAGCAGCACATGCACCCCCGCTACAATGCCACTGTAAGCTTGTACAACCACGACATCGCCTTGCTGCGCTTGAAAAGCCCCATCACCTTCTCCGCCACAGTGAGACCCATCTGCATCGGGCCTAAGGCTTTCATTGAGGGCCTGGTGAAGGAGTCCTCCCCGGCTACAGTCAGCGGCTGGGGCAGAACACGCTTCCTGGGATTAACAGCTGACACGTTGCAGAAGGTGGAGGTTCCCTTCACAGAGCGGACAGAGTGTAAGCGCAGCAGCAGCTCCAGGATCACCCCTGTCATGTTCTGTGCAGGATACTATGATGAGGAGAAAGATGCGTGTCAGGGGGACAGCGGAGGTCCTCACACAAACAGGATACATGACACCTGGTTCCTGACGGGCATCGTGAGCTGGGGGGAGGAATGTGCAAAGGAAGGGAAATATGGTGTGTACACCCGGGTGTCGCTTTATTACGGCTGGATCAACCATGTGATAGGATTAACTAAGCACAGGCTGGCTCTGGATGTGGAAGACCCCGACCCTTAACATTAAAGATGATAGATTAAAAAATGAAAGTGGCTTACAAATGTGTTACATGTCGAATAAAACAGCCTTTTATGATAAGCGCTTTTTCAACTTTTAAGCTTTTTTTAAAAATAGCATCGAAACTGATGACACTTCACACAAGTAGAAGGTCAGAGGTTTAGACTCTGCAACAAACAATATGTCTCATTTGTACTCTGGACTCTGACCTGCCTGTGCCATGCAGGTTATTTTTACTCGAGTGTTTGTTTTTGGTCAAGAAAGCACTTAGCTATGCAGCAGTTGGATAAATATGTAAGTTACATTCAGAGTATAAATTAATTATCTCTATATAAATAAATACAGGAGCCACATACTGTACATTTTAAAGAATGCACTAGGGAAAATGCATTATTATGATTACTAGTAGTATTTATGGGTATATTTAAAAGGCTTCAACCTTAATCATTTTAAAGTTTTAAGCATAATATAAAACAGATAACATCAATGTGTTTTATTAATGTATTGTAATGCACTGAGTGTGTCGACTAACATGAAAGCACACTACTCCCACCTGGTGGTGAATAAATGAATCACAAGAGATGGAAGCAGAGAAACATTTTTTGTTGTTGCAAATCCAGACATTAGTAGTCGAGGAGGATATAATTATATGATATATTTCAATAATATTAGCATTTTGTCTTGAGACAATTATTAAATTTGGTTGCGATTAAACTCCTGTAGGGCTGCATTTAATGTTAGAATCATAGATTCTGATTATTTTCCTTATTCATCATTTGATTATTTGATTTGTACAAAAGAGAGCAGTGAGAAATCTCCACTACATGGCACACAGTCAGGTAGGTTGTAACCTTACTATTTACAGTCTATGGTTTTACCACAGCATTTGTAAGAGCTTTGCAATGTGTGGGGAAATATCGTACTTTTGATTTCACACAAACTACCCTTTGAATTACTCGACAGATGAAGTGCACTGATTAATAACATGTGGTAGAAAGAGGCATGAAGAGTACTTCAGTACAGTATTTGAATAAATCCATTGTCACATTCTAGTAAAATATTTACAACTACACCAAACCAGAAAGTCACAGATGGAGAAAAGTCTGTACAATTTTATTACATGTCTGCTTTCATTAAAACAAGACAACAAAAAGAAAGGGTTAAATCAGGGTGTATGAAAAGAAGCAGCCTTACTTTTCAGCCAACACGTAACCGTTAAAACATGTCTTGAATGCTTTTAGCTACCTAAATGAATTAGTTATTGCCATGAATCATTTTCTGTGATTATTTTCTGATGTACTAAAGCTGTAGAAAAAAAGTCTGTTTAGAACAGTGAGTGTCTTTCAATATAAAATCTGCTAGTTGATCAGTTGCCATGCATTTTCATGTTAAAGGAACATTCAGCAACAAGCTTCGGCTACTTTCCTCATCAGGTACATGATATTGAAGCCAGTTTTTTGTTTGTTTTCCAACATGGAAAAGCTGTGCAAAGATATGCAGCATTTTGGATTACAATTACAAAGAAACCATCGGATTTTACAATACAAGTTAAAAAGGAATGGAATAGGATTTTGATGTGCAGTGGAGCGTAACTCCAGGAAATAAATGGAGATGTTATGTCTTTGGGGGGCTGCACAGATACCTCACAATATGAAGGAACAACATGACAGCAAAATAAATAAATTAACAACATAGGAAATGTGTAGTGCACAGCAGCCCCTGCTGCTTTCTAAACTAATTTCCATATCAAACGCAGTGTATCAAAGGCAGCCCTCCGACTGGGGCCCCGATTTGATGTGGTAAATTCATATAAGTCTGCAATCAATATTTAATTAAGCGTTCAACACAGAGGCTATATTTCGTGTTAGCTGTATGATCCCTTTTAATGGCAAACCGAGATTAGCTGGGCTGTAATGGTGAGGAGGAAACAGTCTGCCTCTGTGATGGAGGGCTACTTGCAGCACAATCTATATCCCTCTCTTTCTTTTGCTCTACCTCACTCTTCCATTTTTGTTTTAGCCATGACTGACATCAGGCTCCCAAAAGATCCTGAAGAGGATAACAGAGTTTGGTGCTCTGTGGCATGAACCTAAAACTCATCTTTGGCAACCACAGAGGAAAAGACTGCAATCAATCTTTATCATTTCTGACGGTGTATTAGCATCAGTGACATGTCAAACACTGCCTGCATGCAGGGGGGTATGTCTCCATTGCCTCCCAACACATCATAAATTCAATAAACAAAGGAGAATACAGCGTGAATAAGGACAATTACACAGTGACTGAGGTAAAGCTGCAAGCAAAGCACACATTCAGGAGGCAAACAGTGGATTTTTCAGTCTCAATTAAAGTGCCTGTTGGATATTTGTGAGGTCAGGTCGAAGCAATAACACAATATTTGATCTTGCAAACGAAGATTACAAAGAGCAGGAATAAAAAAGGCAATATGGCATGGCACATTTTGGCATTTTAACTCCTACATTGTACAGAAGAAAAGGTGCCTTAAGGTATGACATTTAAGAAAAATACAGTAAGAGTAGTTCAATGGAAAATGTCAACTGGCTGCACAAAGATGAAACACTGACATACAGTTGATGTTAAAAATGACACAAACATGTACAAAAATTCCTGCTTTAAGAAATGTTTCAGGCAAATCCTGGGTTACTGCCCATCGAGAACACACAGAGAATAACAGGAACACACACTGTGGGAAATGTTGATGTAGCTGATAGGTTGAAATTTGTCCACAGATTGGGACAGGACTGCACTTCTTGACATACTTTCGTGTTGCAGACTGAACTCCAGAAGGACAAAAAAACACAATTTAGAAAAGAGGAAGACCAATCAGGATCCAGGTATCTGCTGTTGATTGTCCAATAGGGCTAAACAGTTCCTGAGCCTTTTCGCCGCTGTCACAGCATACACTGTCAGAAAACACTGGCCCAGACCATCATCAGTCAAAAAACTGAAGGAATATCAGGTCTGTAGATTCCCACATGATTCCTTCAATGATTGAAATGTGCTGAAGAAAGCAGGCAGCAACGGAGAAAGAAGATTTGGACAGCTATGGCTCAATGTGTTCCTTCTGTGGTCACCATCCACAGGTAAATATAAGATTCACATGTGCTTTTATGGAGAGCTGAGCTTTCTTGCCTTTTGGGTACCTGGGTCTGAAAGTAAATATATAGACATTAAAAAAAGGATCAAGGTGAAGAAATAGTAATGCTTAACAACATATTGTCATTTTGGAGGTCTGTTACTTTTTCTTACCCCCTAGTCTGATGTGGTGTCCTCGACTGCTGTCTGCTAAAATCAACCGCAGACTGGCAGCTGCTATGAAGCCCTCCTGTCGCTGACTCAGATTCTTTACTAACCTGAAGGATGAGAAGTCAGCAGGAGTGAAACAATGAGAGGACATTTTGGATAAAGAAACTTTATAGACAGTATAGTTGCTTGATACAGTATGAGGTTTATTTTGTAGACATAACACTTCTCCTAACATAATTTAAATCCAGTGGCTGAAAACTCACCAGCGCCCCCTGTTGTCTTCACACTGCAGCTGGATGACGTCGCCATATTTGATGGTGATGCTTTCTGGTCCGTTTTGAAGACAGTCAGCCGAAGCCCTGTATCTGCCCGGAGACTAATACAGAAGAAAAACTGTCAAGAACAAAGTAAGTGCAGATTTATTTATATGGAACTTTTCAAAGAAAGTTACGAAATGCTGCCTAAAAAGTAAAAAGTATCAAAGACAGGATAGAAAACAGGTCTCTTATTGAAGGCAATTAAGGACAAAACATCAAAACAGACAAGATCGAAATAGGCACAAGAAGTAAAAAAAACAAATAAAATCAAACAAAATGCCAAAAACATTACATGTTTCTAAAGAAAGACAGAAAAAGCTCACTGTTTCTTAATTTAAACTCTGACATCATCCAGTAGACAATAATTTGCTGACGTAACAGAAATACACATTCTTACATCAACTTCTATCTAATTCTGTAAAGAACTTTCTTGACTGGCCTAAAGCTTACCAGCAGATTCCAACTTATAAGGGATTCTGTTCCATTTGATTTTCAGCTAATTAATTACACAAAGATTAATCCAAAAAAAAAGTATGTTTTTAATATGATGCAGGACATTGGTATCATGTTTATAATGGGTCTCACCAATGTAACCAAAACCTCCTCCTCCATGTCAGATGGGTGGAAGGCGTCCTGACCTCCAGGCCACTCCTCCAGACCCTCGCAGATGTCTACTGAATGAGGAGCTCCGGGCCAACCTGGGGTGACACACACACACACACACACACACACACACACACACACACACACACACACACACACACACACACACACACACACACACACACACACACACACACACACACACACACACACACACACACACACACACACACACAATACTTAGGCCTCTACAAGTATTTAAGAAAACATTTTTCCACACTCTACACACTTAAAGGCACCAGGTACTGTAGATACTTAGTAACTGAATGACATTAAAACGAGCCCTGTGTCACTTACTGGGAAATTAACAAGAAGGTAGAATCAAAAGCTAATCTCAGTAGTTGGACCCTTTTCCCCAAAATTCCTCGTTGTACCTGGTTCTTCAGGTCAAAGTACACCTGAACTGCTGAAGGGTGAAAAAGTTGAATATCTTCATCAGTTAAAGATTATGAAGACAATCAGCAACAGCAGTGAAATAGTGGTGAGCACAGCAAGCATGATTTGTATTGATTTCAACATGTTCTGTTATTTAGTTACTAAGTATCTACTTGATTGTATAAATAAATGTGCGGACTTAATTGACTCACTCCTGCGATTGTGCTGGTGTTTAGGGGAGTAAGGCTGGGGGTCTGGACTGCTCCTCCCTGACTCCGTGTCTCCTGAGCTCACTGACGCCCTCTGCTGCTTGCTGGGGGAGTAAAAACAAACAATGCGTCAATAAATGCTGAACACCGCCAGCAGCAGACACACGCACAGGATAGATTTTATCCTCAGCCACACAGTCTAGGGTCAGCTCTATGTCTGATTCATGCTTCCACCTGTTTAACTGGCCCCAGATCAGTGGCAAAGAACAACTCTGTCCTGTTGTTTCTCACACAGTCATGATTATTCAGGCATCAGCCAGACAGCAAGACAGCGAGACAGAGCACAGAGCAGCCACTTGCAAGCTCCTCTGTCCAAGTGGAAAGTACTGATGTTCACACAGGGGTTGCTTGTGTCAGGTCTAGATTGATGAAGATCCAAATTCAGACATTTGGTCTTTCTGTATTTCTTTGTAAGAATGTTTCTAGAAAGCTTCTTCTGCAGAAGTGTTTAGATCTAAAAATAAAATAAAAATAAACTAGCCCCATCTTGAAAAAATCAGCTGTCATGAGGAAATCAAGAAAATACACGGGATGATTTTTTTATTTTTTTTTGCCCTTTGCATTACATGCAAAATAGCAAATCTGAGATGCAGAAATGAGAACAGTAGTTAAAATGTCATGAAGGACACAGGCCTCTCAACACTGCGGGGGGGGGGGGGGGTCAGTTATGAACCAGAATGGAGGCTTTAAAACAAGTGTGCAGGTGACAGTCAGTATGAAAACACAGCAGCCCTGAGGTTTTGCTGGGCTGGGTGGGTCATGCCAGGGCAAGGTGAGCCAGGCTGAGTTTACCACTGAGCATTAGGGCGGGTCAGTGGCGCTGGGGACGGTGGCAAGGGCACGGCCGGGGCCTTTGCCGGGGGCTTCTGGGACGGGGGCTCCGGGAACGCAGGCACAGAAAGACATCAGCGGACAGCGAGACAAAGTCCAGCCCCGGCAGACAGCCCCTAGGAACCCCTCTGGATGGCCGCATGCCCCTGCAGGTGGGGGGGGGATTGGAGGAGTGGGGATAGGCAACCAGACAGCAGTGGAGAAAATGGGGCCTGCAACCGTTCTCACACACTGCTACACACAAAGCTGCTACTACGGCAACGTGAGATGATATCGTCACATTCACTCAAGCTGCAATTAGATGTGAAAACTCAGCGAATGCAGATAGTAGTGCTGTGGCTGCATGTGTGAGTGTTCTGCATATGTGTTTTTTATATGTGTGCAACTATAATCTAGTCATGCGCTTAACACTGCTTCTAATTAATACTGAATCTGTGAACAAGCACAGGCACTGACCTCTCTGAGTAGGGGGGAGAAAGCTGCATGTGTCCAACCATTTGTCCATGTTGATATGCTTCATCTGTCAGAAGACAAGTGGGTACAAAGAAGGATTTCCTGTTTTATATGCAAATTCATGTGCCTATATCATATCTGTTCAACATATTTGTTTTGTCTATTTGTATGTTGTTCTCACATACACAATTGACATCCTTTGACAATTAACACTTACTTTCAAGTTACTTTTAGAAACAGTGTACAGAAGGAGAGGAGAATCAAAACACAGATCTCCACATTTAAGTGTCAGAGCTTTGAAGCACAATCACCAGCACTCTGGGGCTGTGAGAAACAGTTCAAAGCTATGAATCTAGTACGTGGACTTGGCACTTCGATCATCCATCCAATATTTACAGTAGTTGTTCACAGACCTCTGAGCAGCTTCTGCTGGTTGGTCAGGATTCTGCGAAGCTCATTGAGCCAGGCCATCTTCACCTCCACTGCAGGAGCCTGAAAGACCACAGACAGTTGTATTTATGTATTTACAGCAAGCATTTGTTTTTTTAATTGTATCTGTTAGTATCTGTTACCCTTTTTTTTTAAAAATTTGGACATTGATTTTGAATGTTTATTACAATTCCCAAAGCTACTATTAGCATTATAAAATGTCTTGTTTAACCCCAGAGCCAAAGATAAACAGTCATTTTGGAACACCAGTTAATGTGCAAAAATCGGACATTTTCATCTTTATGCTTGTTTTGAAAAAGAAGACAGTAAAGATTGATACCAAAATGATTGCCAACAGATTTATTGTGAGTTTAATTCAGAATAGGCGGAATTATCTATTATTATAAACGTATTTCTTTTTTCTACTCGTGTTTATATTGCAATTCAATTTTTTTAACATACTTTTAACTTGTTTGGAGAGCTGACTGGGAGGAATGCACAAACAATGCAATGTACCTACACTGCCCTGTACCTGTGCAAATGTCAAAAAACATCTAATCTAAAGTTGTTTTAGAACTGCAGATAATGTTCAATAGCTCGTTCTGACCCCTTACCTGAACCACGTACACCTCCTCCCTGCCACTGTACCAGATCTCAAACTTCTTCACATCTCCTTTGACATTCTCTGTGATCCCCACAGCAGTCATCTGACAAGAGACGTAGACTGCTCATAACGGCAAACACACTACAGGAAGACGAGCAGCACGTCATACATCACACTTACATCATGTAACACATCTGTCCTGTCAGAACACTAACATTCACACACACACACACACACACACACACACACACACACACACACACACACACACACACACACACACACACACACACACACACACACACACACACACACACACATTCCTCCTCTGTGCGACTGCTTCCTCCCAACACCCTCAATAATAAATCAAGAGCAACAGCAGCAGCTGCTGGTGATGGTGACACACCAGCTGCGACACAAGTCACAACGCATACAACCAAAAGAAGTGTTACGAGAACAGAGCAGGTCGTGTGGCCAGCAGGGGAAACACACACGTGTGAAAAGGTAACAAGACAGACACCAATGTCAACTATGCTACTCTAATAGATCAGTCACATGGTGCTACAACCGAAATAGAAGGATCATGTGTGATGAATTTCAACACATTTCATTAACAGTTTGTGTATGACATTTATCTACTGCATTGTAGTTTCTGAACTCTCCATAGACTTTGTTCTAAAAATAGCGTGTTGTGTATTTTTCCCACTTGTGTCAACATAGTTTATGTCTAAAACTTTACTCTGTGCTGAGTGCAATGCAGTACTCGAACACACAGCAGAATGACTTGGATATGTGATCACAGTAAACCACTCATCTGTCAATGTCAAAAAGAAAGAATATTTAAGGAAGTAAGATCATACAGAGGCACAGTGACCATGTCCCCATTACAAAACATGTACGTATCAAATCAAAACAATTGTGCATATATTAAAGAAGAGAGAGTGTGGTTATAAAAGTCGTCCGCAGATAATTCTCTGATGTTTTATTATTATACTAATAATTTGTAACCTCTTGTAAAAAAAATTATAAACAGAGGATAATATGTCATTACATTTATTTAGACGTAGCCACTTAAGTCATTTTCTCATAACCAATACTTAACTTCAAATAAGTAGGCTACATGAAATGAACACAAGCAGAGGCAGAAACCAACCTTTAAACAGTTCTTGAAGCTGTACGAGGGCGTCTTGTCGCAGCCCTCTCCGTGCTCCTCCCTCCTCTTGCAGAAGAGCAGAGCTCTCTCGTACAGGAAGAGGTGTCTCTGCATCGGCTTGAAGCGAGTCAGCTCCTTCATGCGTGTGGGACCTTTCTTATGGCTGATCCACACGCTGAAGGAACCCTGCATCAACACGCGGCCCAATCACAAATGTCACCCTGCATAGACAAAAGGGAATTTATGAGTTAGTCTTTATGATAAATCTATACTCAGTGAAATTTTCCTCAGATATAATCTACCTCGACCTAATTAGTTTGGTTATTTAGGATGTTCAATGTTCTCATAAATCCAGCACAGATCAGATTTTAGTCACCTCATATCCGGTGATGGCTATCTGATGCATGGAGTCATTCACTGATTTGAGCAGGTCCAGCATTGCTGTCAGCGCCCCCTGCAGGTCAGAAGTCCCCTCACAGTCTGAACTGTATTTCAGTAGTTCCTGAACACACAAATCAAATGAAACTGAGTTGAATGAAAAAAACACAAATGCAGTGGCTTAAATAACGCCCTCTAGTGGTCAACACATGTAATAAGCAACTTGACGTAAAAGTGGTGACAGAATATGAACACACTTTCTCATTTAAATGTTTTTCTTTTCACTGGGCCCATTTGCTGCAGTTGATTTCCCTCCAACAATTTTTTGATGATCTGTTTGTGCATCCAAGACCAGTGTAATTGAAAATATGATTAAATAGTCTGTCACACACAGATAATCGGGATTGACTTTGTCGGTTTGTTTATGTCTTACCTTAAGCAGCAGCTGGTATTTAGTGAGGCGCTGGACTGGTTTTAACAGGTAGGAGTCCAGACCCAGTTTGTGCTCCAGCTTTTTTTGACACTCCTGCACAAGGAAGACAAATCAAAACTATGTTAATGTTAACTTTGTAAACGTTTGGTCACTGCTTTTTAACTGTTACTGTAAACTAAGACAATAAGTGTACAGTACAGAACTACAATGAGGTACTTTTTAAAATATGTAATGTGTAAATGTTTCTGTCATGACACTGAAACAGTAAATAGAATTTAAAAAGTGTGAGTGAAAGATGGCACAGCTGACCTGAAAGAAGGCACAGTCTGAAAACTGTCTCCACAGCGCCTCAGAGCGAGGCTTATTCTGACAGTAGCACTCATACATCTGGAAACTCTCTTTCTGAGGGGACAGCAGAGAGAAATCTGTTTAAGTAATAATGCATCACAGTATTTACAAATGGTCCAAATACAAAGCAGCTGCACAACATAAACATTTGGATCATCTCACCCGCTGCAGAAAGCAAGCGCCCACACCTTCAGGATTCTCCAGGCATCCTTCCAGGTCCTGAAGAAAAACCCTGGGTTTCCAAAAAAGTTCAAAGACCAGGTATGAGAAATAAAAAAAAGAAGTACTGGAGAAAACAACATTTGAAAAGACATCACCGATTGGTCGGATAGTCAAGGTTTGATTTGATTTGTTAACACTTGTTTGTTTCTATTTATTTACTTGTATATATAATTTAAGCAGCAACATTATAAATGTATGGTTCCTTTCCTTTTAGATTTGTTAAATCAAACATCCATGCCATTAATAAACTATTTTTAACCAAATCCATCTCACTTTTATACAGAATGAGGCTTCAAAAAACATTCATTCAAATGTTCATTGTTGAAATGATTAGAGCACCCACACATTCAGCATACATTAAGGCCTTTTGTCTCTTGATGACATATGATCCATGTTTATCTTTGCTTTAAAAAAAAAGGTCAACAGTATGTGTGATGGACTTACCTGCTGTGAAAGTTGTAGATCTCTGGCATGTTTCCAAACAGGATGTCTCTCTTGCTGCGCAGGATCGAGGGCAGAAGCCCTGACAGAGCTGCGTTGTCCATCTCAGCCCTGTAACCCTGAAAGGTTTCATTATGGCAACAAAATTAAGGAAATATATATATATTGTATGGGTTATGCACATACAATATAACTAGAATCCATTTAGCCATGTGCAAAAATATGATGCAGAAACAGAGGAACTGAACAAAACATTTGTTTATTTATGTGTGCTAATAAAAATGGGGGCGAAACATGTGTTTTCTCACCAGTAGAACTGACAGCAGCTCCTCCACATAGATCCTCTCCGTCTCTATGAGTTCCCTCATCACATGACTGTGACACAAACGCAGACATGCACAAGGAGAAGGAGACAGAGCAAGAGCCAGAGGGCATCATTAGCAATGAACAAAGAGAATCACAAAGTAAACAGCTCCAGGAGCAGCACTGAGGACAGACAGATGCCCCCTCCTCCTCCTCCTCCTCCACCTCCTCCTCCTCCTCCTCACCGCTTCAAGAGATCCGGGCTGTCCTCACCCTCCAGACCATATGACACGCAGCTCCGGTTCTCCTGAAAGTCGTGAATCACCTCTATCTGAACACACCACAGATGGACATCTCTGAATATTCCATTCGATTTTCTGATGTTAAAGAGCTTTGTAACAACTTTTTAATAATCATTTTTTATCGCTATAGACCCAAAAAACAACAAATGTTAATGATTGAAATTCTGAGCAGGTCTATGCAGTGCTCTTTGTAACATTACAAGCATAAATAGCTGAACGGATCAACGAGCAAGAGTAAGATGGGAACATTATTCATGATGATTTGAAAAATATATATTTTTCAATACAGCTTTGATGGTGGAGGGAACATCAATAAATAAACAGCATGAAAATGACGTCTTTTTCCTCACTTTTCTGGGGTTAGGGCTCTTTCGGGATGCTCTCTTTCCAGGCAAAGAAATGTCGAACGTGAACTTCAAACCATCACCTGTGAAAGCGAGATCATCATCATCATCATCATCAGCAGCAGCAGATCATCAAAGTGAGAGAGCGTTATTCGCATACGGTATATTGTCATGTGCTCTGATGAGAAATACTGTGGAGATGGCTCATTTGAGCACCCACATTAAATAAAGAATGTTTATTTTAATGAATGTATGCACAGTGTGAACACATTGGCCTCAAAGGGATTTCTCTTGCCCTGCCTATGACCTTTTTTATTTCTTAGAAAACATCAATCGGCTATAATCGACATCACAGGTGATCAATGATAATAGGTTGCCTACTGTAGGGTGCAGCCTGGGAACAAGTGTGTTCAGATCTGAAGGATAGTTTGGCATGACTATCAGTCTCCTTTTGATCCCAGCAGCGGAAGCCTTCACATGATAGTCCAACCTACACTGAGTCTCGTGGCCTTGCATGTGCCATGTTGGAATCATCAGTGGTACACAAGCATGTGTGTGCATGCACATACGTGTGTGTATGCATGTACAGGATCAAATTAATCAAAGCTAACCGCTCTCCCCTTCATCTCTTCTTTTAAATGTCTGGTATCAGGGGGGCCTCAGAGGGGTTCATAATTACGTTCATTCTCTTTCTTGTCGTTACATTCATTAACATGGCTTCATATCATAAAGGACATACCTTAAGTCTTGAATTCAGTGGGGGGAAATGTGTATCCTTTAAGTGTCACATGCATAATGATTTTAGACACATTAAGTTGCACAAAAGATGCATTCAAATAAAAAAGAATAGCAGATAACACATACAGTATTAATTGAGTTTCACTGTACGTGGTTAGCTTTGTGCGACATTCCCTTGAGACAAAGAGGGAGATGAAAGGTTCTTTAATGTTCACTATGTGAACCACATATGGTTCTATAGTGGCTACCCTGACTAATAGAGCAGTCAGGATGATCCCTGTAGACTGATTATACCTTCTACCCTAGTTACAGCTTGTTTGTAAAGGTGGCCTTTTAACCCCGCAGCCCATTCAGGAACACCTTAGGCCTTCTCAGCGGGACCCTGTGATGTGTCAATGTAAGCACCATGTCTAAAGCAAAGATGCAAGGGGGCGAGGGGGACGAGGGATCGGTGCCAGGCCATAAGGGCTGGGACAAGACCCCATACTGGGCATGAGAAACAAAGGAGGGTGGGTAGGGTTGGTTTGTAGAAAAACTGCTTTACATGCTCCAAATTAGGGCACCTCACCATTAAAAAGACGTGTAAAACAGAAAATAATTATGTCTTTTGATTGAGGACAACATGTTTTGTGTGTGTGTGTGCTGCACCATGTTTGGGGGAGAAGAGTGGGGACTTGGCTCGTGGTGGGTTTTCTGGCCTGGGAGCCACCAGCTGGACCGGTCGCACATGTTTATCAGCCAGCTTCCTCAGAGAAGCCTGCCGGTTCTGGATCATCTGCTGCACTGCTGCATGCTTCTCAAATGTTTCCCCAATCTGAGCCTAAAACAGAGAGAGAGGAAGATACAGAGGATAGGGTTATCAACTTTGTTTTCCAATCCAGTAAATTCTGCTGATCCTGACAAATGAAGGCAAAAAGACCAACATGGCTATCAGCAGGCTAATCTCCTCAAGGGCATTTCATATGCTGGCTCAAGGTCAAGACAAAATTGGAGATTCCCAGATGACATTGCTTCAGCAAGAGGTCTTAAAAATGCTTTAAATAGGATGTTTTGATTTCTTCAAAAAGGATTGTTGTGGTCACTGACCTGCAGCTGTTGTGTGATGACTGCCTCGTACTCGATGGCCAGGACATCCGGTCCAGAGCTCAGCATAGATGGTGCCCCCTCCAGAAACCTCTCAATATCTTTCAAAGCAGCCTGAGCTCCCTCCTTGGACTGGAACTTATCTACCAGCTGATTGGCCAGCATATACGCTCCATCATCACACCAAGTTTGGGCCTGAAGACGGAGAACACGCATGTGTATCAGCATGAAGACGGTCTAACGTACATGTGTTAGTGTGTATGTGTAAGTAAATGAAGATGTCTGAATACCTGTCCGAGGCAAAGCAGCAGCTGGTGTGTTTGCAGAAGACTTGTGTGTTTGGTCTTCAGAGCAGCATTTAGTGTGTCACAGTAGTGGCGCAGCTCGTTGCAGCGTTGCATAATAAGAGCCATGGCGTAGTGATGACCGGCGGATAGCTGGTGTCCGTGAAGAATGATGATCTGAGCCCGAGCCATCACCTCCTGATAAGGACACGCAAGAAGGAAGGACACTGTTTTCATGATCACTGAGCTCACAGTTTGTATTTTTGGCAAATCCATCCGGTACACAAAGCTGATAAATAAATATTGTATTGGCAGTCTGGATGAGAAACACTGACCTGTGCATTTAATTCCACACTCTCCAACCTTTTCAGAGCCTGTTCTGTCAGGACCAGAGTGTCTACAGATATGGACAGCTCCCTCTCCTGAGCCATTAGGTGCTCCAGACACAACTCCATCTCAAAAGAAAACACACACAATCATACATATACAGACCAAACACAATAAAAAGACAAGCCTAAAGACAACATGGTTTCTCCCAGAGGCATTACATCCCAGAAATTCAAACTGAGCCCAAAGTTAGCAAAAATAAAAGGTGTTATCCTCTGGAAAGTATAAAACTTTGGTTTAAGCACATAAAACATAAAAACATGTATGGATGCAAAGCACATATATGGAATCCTTACCTCCTGAAAGCTTTGCTCATATCTGAGCAACTGCAGGTACTGATGGAGTTTCAGATGATGTTTCTCAAAGAAGCCATCGAAGGCTGACTCCATGTCTCTGAGCTGTGCCAGAAGCCTGAAAAAACGAAAGGAACAATGCCATAGATCTCAATCACTTACTCAAAAGATACATTTTAGATTTGTTTTTAAACAAGGAGGGCAGGCTCTTTTTTTGGTGGATTGCAAGTTCTACCAATAAGCTTGTTAGCCACTCCTACTAGATGAAAATAAGCTGTCTCACCTCTGTACCGTCTCCCAGTCCAACTTCACATCCCACTGGGAGTCATCCTCTTTCCCAGATGTCTCCAGGCTTAAGAGAAGATGACGACCCTCCTTCGACACCGATCTGATTGCATCCTGTCAAACAGAGGACAGTTTACATCATAACGTGTGGCACACCAAAAATACTAGATTTTTAGCATGAGAACACAAGACAAATATTTTAGTTACAAAATGAATAAATGCCTCTTATAGGAACACAATAGAGGTCTTACTTTGAGTTTCCTGTACTTTTCAGTGTGAGACTCGAGGAGATACTCGATAACCTTTCCCTCATCAGGCAGCTCCGTCTCTGCCAGCTCAGAGCCAAAGCCCTGAAGCATCTGTGCAATGTCTTTGACTGTCACAGCAAAACTTTCGATGGCCTGTAGTGGGAGCAAAAAGACACAAGGAATACAGAAATAAGTGTCGCTTGGCTAAACGAAGGTCAGAGCTTAAGAGCAGCTCTATCAAACTGGCAGAACGATTTGGCTAAATCACATGGATGAACCTCAGAAATGAGAGAAAACACAGGAACATGTTGAGGAAAGATGATATTGTTCGTTGCTTGCTCCCTTTGTGTTTGTGAAGTGATTTGTGGCTTACCGTTCTTAAAACAATCCAGTCACTATGACAATAGTCCAAAGTGCCTCCAAACTCTGAAGTCAGCTGGTTCTCATCGATGTAGTGCAGCAGGTCTGTGACAGAGCTCAGCATCACCACCTAAAGGTACGGACAAAACCTGAGACCTCACAAAGAAAACTTTTCACTTGAAGCACATTAATGATGGACGTCAGTTTAATTCTTCCTAATTTTTTAATGCACATCAGTACCTAGTGCTTTTAAACTACATGATTTTCAATTCTATACTCGTGTAAGTCCCTTTGCTATACTAGTGGAGGTATATCAAAGGTCATTAGAACAATTAATCATACAAACAGTTGATCATAGTCACAGTGGCTGCAAATGGCATGACAGCTATCAGGCTTGTACCACTCAGACTTCACAAATTAAAATCCCCCAGAAAAGGGGCGCAGTTGGCTTAGCTGTTAGTGCGCGTGCCCCATGTATAGAGGCTGTTGTCCAGAAGGGGGCGCAGGTTCAAGTCTGAACTGTGGCTCCTTTCCTGCATGTCATTCCCCTCTCTCGCTCTCTCGCTCTGGTTTCCGACTATAGCCAATGTCCTATCTGAATAAAGGCATAAAAGCCCAAAAATAAACATTTTAAAAAGGAAATAGAAAGAACCAAAATACTTGGAAAACCCACTATTTCAATATTTTTGTCTCAAAAGTGAAACTGACATCAACATGTGTTCTTGGCTGTGTCCACCACACAACATTTGGAGATCAGGAATGCAACAAGAATGAAGTGTACCTTGTTGTGATGTGGGGCATGTTTGGTAACTGAGGAGGAGCTGCCTTACTGGCATCTTGAGCATGAAGTCCTCTTGGCTGAAGCGAAAGCCAATGTCCGTGACAGTGCGGTGGAAGAAGCTGGTGGGTCGGAGCACCAAGACCAGGTGGAGGTTCCCGGGAAAGGAAGCCTTGAAGGAAAGGAAGAGGTTTATTGTGATGGTGCTGCTGCAGTAGGGATTCATAGGAGAACTTTGTAGCTTCAGCATTTAGGAACATAAAGACTTTTAGTATTTTAATTATCTGTTAATATCCATGCAGTTTTTAATTAATATTGATGTTTTGTTTTCTCTGTTTGTTCTATTTTTTTCTAACTTGTGAGCTATGACACTCCTGAATTTCCCCCAGGGGATGAATAAAGTATGTATCTATCTATCTATCTATCTATTTATTTAAGTTCCCTGTAGTGCACTTTTTTCAACATGTGAATTTTCACACATAAACATAACTCCTGTATGCAGACTAGCACAGGTGCTGAGGGGAAAAAAAAGCATCATATAAGCTCTCATCCTGTTCAGGTCTCCATCATTCTGTCACTCAAGCTATTAACGTCAGCCTAATGGATTCTAGATTCAGTCACATTAACTTTCACATGCATGTCATGTGATGCATTTCATGTTGCGGTCGTTTGAGGCCATAATGTAGTCATGCCTAATGTGCTGTATGATGAGAACCGTAAGCTCTATCTTTATCATGAAAGTGAATTTACAATAGACCTATTGGTATTTTATCGCTTGTTTTTAATGACTTGCACTTTTGCAACACATAGGATATCCAGCATGAAACATCTCCTATGTTGCCAATGCTCTCACTGGCTCATGCATTTGCAATTGACGCAACTTCTGAAATTCGTTTGCTCTGTCTCAAGCTTCTAATTCCAGTATAAACATCCGTCAGATAAGATTTCAAACACAGCCAATTGCATGATGAAGCTGAAGCGCGCTGGACCGCAGTGCTGCACCCCCACCCCCTTCCCCCTTCCCCCCCCCAGCCGATGCCACTGCCGCATTCACCCTGCCCTAACAAAACTTCACCCTTAACTCTTCACACGGTACAAGAAGAACTGGTCAGCAGTTCGTTACCGGACTCCGGCGGATCTTCGGGATTCCCCGCCGGTAAAAGCAGTCCGCCATGGTGTTAGAAGCCATCTCGGTGAAATATTAGTTCCCACCCGTTCGACAGAAATTGATGCCAGGCTGTGAGATATTGCAGCAGCTCCCTCCAGCCGCCTGACCACAGCCGCAGCGCTGCTGCTGCCTCTCAGACGGAGGGTGGCAGCGCCAACTGCAATGTTTCCCTCCCGCCCGCCTTCCTCCTCATCCTGTCCTCCCCTCACCGCCCCGCGTCATCACACACTTTTTGCTTACTCATGCTTTGGCAGCAGTAGTTTATATGCAATGGGACACTCAGTACAGACAGGATGTTTATGATTCAAGCTGATCTCCACATGGAACTATACATTAAGCAGGAAACCCCTTGATTAATGCAAAAAAAATGTACAGTTTGATCACATGTGTCCTGCCAAGGTTGTTGTTTTAGATTTTCAGCACCATGGACAGCAACTCATAAATAAACATGAGCATAGGCACAGTCTGCAGCTCAATGCAAAGATAAAGATTTGTCGCATACATCTAAACGTCTAAGCTGTAGGGGAAAAGGCTGTATGTGTAAGGCTTTATGTGTAAATGTACTTGGCAATAAAAAAAAATGATTCTGATTCTGAAATATTGATCAGAAATAATCATGTTGCAAATAAAAAACAATAAACTCACAGCTATCCTGGCAAGAGCAGTTTTGATTGAGGCCCATGTATCCAGTCGTCGGTCTAAAATGATGATAAATTTTACTCCAGGCTGCCTAGTTCTGCAGGAAAAATAAGGCCATTAAATACAGTTGTAACATCATTTTGTGTAATAATGTAGTTTAAAGATACCAGGATTGAACACGGGAAGGGTCAAACATAGCCGCGCTTCACATTCATGTCATCTATGTGCTTTACCAAAGCATTTATACTCTCTTTGTTGTTCAAAACTCACTGAAATGAGTAAATAATGTCCTAAATTAACCTTCCAAATCCCTAAGGAGTGTGAGGTTTGAACATAGAGGGCATCAATAGGACATCTAACAGTAAGCTGAGGAGCAGTGAAGGCCAGCTGTGCTCAGAATGCAAGCACTGGGCTTTTGGTGCACTGCAGAAAGGGAGAGGGAGAGAGTCAGGCAGGAATAGACGAAATGAGGACGCACCGAGGGATGAGAGTGAGGTATGTGAAGACTTTGGCTAAAGCTTCCTCTGGAATGTCAATGAAAGCAGAGCATTCTGGGAGGGTGACGATCACACTTGAGTCTTCCCCACGGCCCCCTGGGGGGAAAAAGGTAAACGATTAAACAAAAGTTGAAGACATGAAATTATAAAGAAATAAGTAAGATTTTTCTGGGTACTAAGCCATTTAAAAACTGCTGAGGGTGTAACAGAGATTCAAATCAAGTTAAAAGGAGCTTATGCAGCATCATACCACAGTACAAAAAGTGCCTTACCTGACAAGTATGCCACCTGTTTCTGTATGTATCCCCCCACCTCCTTCATGCTTACCGGCACAGTCACCTCTGAAAAAAAACCAAAAAGAAATCATGAGCAATTGAGTAAGTGGTGTGTTCTGTAAAGCTAAATTGAATTCATGAGTTATTGCACAGAACTGTTCTCTGCAGTTTGTCTACTTCTTACATTATGGAAAGATGTAAAAACCTTACTGTGCTGGAGAAGATTACAACAGCTCAAAACATTGTCAGGCTGTTACATATAAAAAAGAAAAACTAAGGATTTGATTGTGACATACAGTTTTCCATCTTCCAGCACTCTTTAAACAGTCAAAGTGTTTTTTGTTTTTTTTGCATAGCTTTTAACAAAGCCAATTCATAACTTTGGTAAACACATAAATGCTTTCCATTGGGACAACCACATTGAAGCCTTTTTCACCCAAGTTTTGACATAAAATGACTCTTGTTTAAAAGCAGCTACTTGACCCATTTTATCCAAACAGGGAGATGTCATGTGTCTATGTTATTCCCAACGGGTGCTCCATGATAATACACAGTAGTTACTGCAGCTATAAATGCTGCTTCACAGACGTAAATCCAGCATCTGGTGCAAATCAAACAATGACATCATGAGAACACATAAGCTCATTAACAGCACTCTGACTTAAAGTTAGCTAAGTGTTAAGTTAACTGGCAGATGGCCCGGTGTCTCATGCTCAGTTCCATTAGTGTTCAAAGTAAGCTAAGTGTCTGATAAATGCACAGAGTCTTTTAAAAAGCAGTTAGTGCAGCTCGTTGGTGCACTGAGAATCATTCAACAAGATGTGTAGAGGGAACACACACACGGACCTTTGGACACACATTGCATTCACTTAAGTTGTAATGCATACGTGGCTGATATTATGCAGTGAGAGAGGTATTTTTAACAATGATTGGTACATGTTTTGAAGTGAAAACTGAAGCTTTGAGCTTTAAAGGGTTTTGTACCTTAAACATAGGTTACATTATTTGATATGGTTTGGATACAGAGTTTCACTGTCCAGATTACTCTCCAAATATGAGCAGTTCATGCTACATATGAACATGGTAGTACATTTCCTTACAAATCATTATTTCCTCATCCCTATCACATAAAAACATTATAATGGATTGGGTTTCAGAAACAGCAAAAACAGAACAGAGGAAAAAAAGATGGCATAAGACACACAGAGGTTTTGGAGACAGAGGTGTTAGTTTCCATGTGTCCACTGCAGTAATGGTGTCCGCCGTGCTGTCTGGGAACCAGTAATGAGCTCTACTGGTACCTGCTGAATATTTGATGTGTGTCTGTAACAGAGAGCAGCTGAGCCAAGCCAGGGACAGAGCAGGACCAATGGTTATACTGACTCCACACAGATGCAGGGTAGAGTTACAGCTGCACTGGAAAGGTTATATAATCCTTTCTACCCTGTGCCACGAAACCTTCAGGAAGGTGGGACGGTTCTTAGATGAATAGATTTGAAGTCATGCCAATTAAGTATTGTTATTATGCTTGACATAGCTTAAGGTACAGGTATTCTTACATTTCTAAATAATTAAGATGTCACTGACACAATCTGCATTTAATTCAAACTGTTCTGAGTAGAAAAAAAGTTGTTCTAAAAAAATAGAGAAGGATACACAAGCTAACGCACTGCAGACCTCTACTGCAATAAATCAAAGCAAGGGCAGCCTGGACTGCAAACTGCAGTGTTGTTAATAAACTTGCCAACACTGTGGTGTTTATGTGCTCTCCCAAAACCCTGACTGACTACCAGCCTGTCACATGATCTTCATCAAACCCATTTAAGGACACTGCTGGGTGAAATGCTTTGAAGTCTGTCAATTATGCCTGAATGCATTATATAACACTTATACATGTGGATTTTGAGGAGTTAATTGAACAAACTTCAAGTTATATTCAAGTTATATATAATATTTAGAGAAAAAGTAATCCTGGTGTGCTTTTAGATGTTATTTCTTCATGAAATAATGTGGTTCCCTTGTAGCTTGCATCATGACCTCTGCAGTAACATGCAGCAAAGCGTGTGCAGCAGGCAGATAACAAGTCCCAGGTACTCAAAGGTGTGGAGGCACATGGGCCTCCCAGGCCAAAAAGTGAGTCTTTTAACTCAGGTCTGTTATCTGTTCTGGTCTAAAAACTAACCTTCTAGTCAAATATCAGAGTGGTAAGAATTCTCTATTTTCTTTTTTTTTACCCTTTTCAATCCAAAATCAGCCGCCCACCACACTAATCCCCTTAGCATGGAAAGCTTTGTTTTGCCAAATATCCCATGACCTAAAAGCAGCGTGAGGCTCGGCCTCTGTGTACTATGAAAACATTTGAATGTGTAAGAGCGGATTTCTTACCATGCAAGAGATTACTTGTGACCGCTTTTTGGTCTCTGAATTCAAATTAAATTCAACATCCGCTCTCTGTATTTGCGCTCTCCACTTAGACCAGCCTCATTTTGCGCCAGTCTTCTACATTTCGTGAAGTATAGAAAAAATACATTAACTTCCTGAGTCATACCCTTTAAATTACCGGTCAATGTGGAAGAAACGCTGAAGTCAGTATTCAGGAAGAGGCCATGTCCATACAACCCAACAGCCTCAACATGGCTTTAATATTCTGCCAACATATTAAGGATGACTTCTTACTTTTCATATAAAATGAATACCCACTCTGAGACTAAAGCCTAAACATCTCCTGTGCTTCAGTGTTGTTAAAGCATAAACCATGAGTAATAAAGGTGAGTTGATGCTTTTAAAGGAGCTCCATGTCATTAAATCAGTGCAGATGGTTATCTCTGTTTGGACAACAGAGTAAAGCTTCCTGCCTCCAGCTTTGTATGTAGACTCAACTAAGATCTGCTTGACTGAGAGCAAATCTCTGTTTCCATCCACATTGGCAAACATTTCTCTTTATCAGTGTGCAGGAACAGGAGAATCAAAGGTTACTCTTTGGACTGACATTACTGAGGGGTCGTGGTAAAAAGCAACATGGTTTAAAAATCAGGAGTTATGGGCGTTTCTGTCATAAAGTATTACCAGAGCTTTGGTTTCTATGGTGCTACTGGAGAGAAAACCAGAGCAGGCTTAAGTCTACAAAAAAAATTGACTTTTCTTGTTTAAGCTGAAAGATAGGTGCTGTAATCACAGTTTGCATGTAAGAGAGTTGGTTAAAATGAAAAATTAAACTAAAATTAAACACTATTTAAGGCTTCATTTCAAAATCTATTTAAATAATAAGATGCTAAATTATCAGATTAAGTAATGCAAGTATTTGATCCAGTTGTTGAGGAGATGTTGTGTTTTGAAAACTGATAAGTAAGAGAGGAGAGCAGCTGAAGTGTCAGTAGAACCACGATGACTTACAAACGTTAAAGTCTTGGTTAAGTTTTGAGTTTAAAACTGAAGAGCTGGAGATACATGACATGTGAGTTCTGTAGTGTCACTCTGTGTGTAGACATTGAGAGCAGTCAGTTAAAGGTGCCAGTGAATCAAAATCCGATGAAGTGTTGGCTGAAATGCCAGGTGTTGTGATTGTGACTGTGTGAAGTCATATTTGTTTGTGGCTTACTGTGTCAGAATGTGTTTACACAAACTTTAACTGGTGAGCAGGAGGATAGCACATTAAAGAATTCTAAGATTGTGCTCATCATCATCTGGCATGTCTATCAACTCAGTCATTTGGCAGTTCATTATGAGTATTATAAACATTGTAATATCTGGAATGCTCACATTTTGGAGAAAAAAAAGCCACTGTGTGTTCATAAACTTATGGTAAGTGTGTTGGATGTGATTCAGGGGTGATTTGCAAAACAAATTGAGGATTCTGTAGTTTTTAAATGAAGGGGTCAGTTGGGAAGCTTTATAAAGGATAATGTATCAACATCCATGAAGGAAATGAATCATCTGTGGTTATAATTCCGTCTAAATGACAGTAGTGTGTCATTTAGGATCAAAACTGCATCACTCGTAAGAAGATTAACAAACCCACACAAACCCTGACTGCAGGGCTCACATTTCACACAGAGAGTGAGAGAGAGAGAGAAAATGTCACCTGGTAAAAAAAATAGAAACTCATCATAGATTTCTTTCCTCCTCTCACTTCAGTGTTATCAACAAACCCCAGGCCAGGTACAATGAACCCAAAGGGAACAGAGAGAGGCAAAGGCCCATCAATTAAAGAATAACTCAAGGCTGCCAAGATCCCAAAGTAATCACATTAGCCTCTGGAGAAGGCTCCTCCATGGAGCTGTCATTCAAGTCAGGCACTATTTCTGTCCTTTATCCTACCTTCATTCACCAGTTTGTTTTTAAGGGTCATTTATTAGTAATTCATTCTCATGCTGGTTACATTTTTTGTTAACAAACAGTCAAACTTCTTTCAATTCTATTGCTGCTTAAAGAAAACAAGTGCTACACAATATCCAGTTTATAAACTTCACATTACAAGATAACACCTTGAATAATGAAAAAATATGTTTTACTTTCTGAACAGCCTTCTATTTTTTCTTTTCGGATAAGTCACACACTAAGACACCTAGTTCACACCAATAGAATTGCAGGCCTATATTTCTACCATATCTCTGCCACACAGTTTTACAGATATTCAGTCTACAAATCATTCCTATAGATAAATATCTATCCATCTGGGACGGCTTAAAATAGCTGACATAATCCCTGCAGTGGCCTAACATTGTACCAAAGCTGCAGGAACAAGCACATCAATAATACTGGCAAGACAGACGGTGCAGTTCTCCCGTTACCTCCTGTAATGGCTCTCAGAAGTTACAAATGAGGACAGTAAATCAAACTTAATGGCTCGTGCTGCAGTACATTTCATTTCATTTTTCAGACTGCTGAACCATGCATGATGGGAATGATGGGAAATAGTTTCAGAGCAGATAAAGGATTATGTCCAAAACGCCTGCTAGTGGCGAGCAGAAGTTAAATGAGGACAGTCAGCATCATGTGTACTCACGCTGCAGAGTGCTCTCCAGCTGAGAGCCGGCCTGCAGGAGGTAGTGGTAGCTCTCCATCTCCTCCCTGGAGTCTTTCTCCGGCTCTCTCTCCTCCTGCAGTGAGGCTGGGCCCATTCCCTGTCCTGTTCTCCGACACAAGTTCAGGCTGGGAGAGAAGTGACGCTGCTGTGGGAGGTATTGAAAGTAGTCCAGGCCTCACATCCTCTTCACAGTCCTATAGCCCGGCATAGTGTCGCTCTATAGCGAGGCTGTGCGCTACAACAGGGACACTTATGCCCACCTGCCTCTGCGGGTCCTGAGATCCAGATGGGACAGTTCCCTGAGGCTGCTGCTGGATCTTCCTGACCTTGAACTGCATAGAGTGAAGAGCAGCTACAACCAGAAAACAGTGATGTTGTGCTCTCATGAAGTCTCAGACACACACTTACACCGGCAGTCCCTGCGCTCAGCAGCAGTCACCTACTTCAAAACAAACAAGGCTCCATCTGGCCACTGCTGTCCGTCTCTCTCGCTCCTCCCCTCTCTCTCTCTCTCTCTCTCTCCCTCTGAGCTTTAGTGCGTCAGCTCTGCGCCGTGCAGAGCTCGAGTCTTCTCTGACACACTGCCAACTCCCTCCTAACTTTTCCTCTCACTTCACACTCCGTGCTCCCTTTCGCTGTTCTCTATGCGGACTGTACTACAGTGTGGCTGGATTGTCTGGCTGCCATGTTCGTGTCCCCACTTTCTCCTGCTTTACTATCATCTAAATGCACACCCAGTGGAGAAAAGCTCTATTGAAGAATATGAAAATCTACCGCACCCTCAGCCAACAAGTTTGGCCCATGCAAAAGCACAGCCTTTAACACACAACAATCACATTCAAACAGCAGAACAAATATGAAAGGGTGTCATTGTGTACATACTGATACACAAAGCCTTTCTCAACTCAACTCCCTGCCCACAACTCCTCTGAATGGATCAGTGCTCAGGCACTAGAGTGCAAAAAAAAGGCTTGTGAATGCATGTACCTCCTGACTCACAGTGCTGGATGATTTCTTGATGCGAGGCCACACAAGGAACAGAGAGAGGGCAGACATACTCTGTCCTGATACGCAGCCACTCAGCTGATCCAGCTTAGCCTTTCAGCCATCTCATTACTGCACAGCATCTGCTTAGCGGGGTCAAATGCACACAAACACATCCACACGCTCCCAGCCGCCCACACATCCACACACGCCCTTCCATCAGACAGATTCTGCTGACATGCATGTTGGTGGCACAAAGCACTGAAACGCACTGATTTATGTTTAAAACATTATGCTTTATTACAGAAAACCGTCAGATTTTGAATATAGTTTCAAAGAGGTACATTCAGCTTAGAGGTTTGGAGTGTTGAGGCTGGACACCCAAGGGGCTGGAGGTGGCGAGGTGTCCCTGCTGCATGACACAGGGCTGCTGAGGTGCCTGAAGACATCCACCTCCATCCCCTCAGAGACTGACAGGGACCGTGTCCACAACCACAGAGCCTCTCCCGGTTTGTTTTTTTTGGGACATTTCGTTTTTTCGTAGAAAAAGTGGCTGGAAAAAAGGTTGCATTAAAAATACAATTCTTCAATTCTTCATTCTTTTATAGTTTTCATTTAAACAGGCAAAAACATTAGATTCCAAGATATCATTTAGCTCTGAAAATAGCATCTCTGATGTTACTTAAAGGTTGTTTTTACATTTGTTAACAAAGCAGGCAGCCCCTCTTAGTGTGTCCTCTCGCTCATCTGATGTGTGGCTCAGTGCAGTCTGGAGGCGACGTGTCACAGGGTGTAAGAGCAGTCTCCTCCCCTTTTCATCAAAAACTACAACTAGCTGTTCTAGCAGCGAATGATACTGAAAGGCAGGTCTATTTTTCCATTTGTTAAGATCAAATCAGCATGTACATAATTTGTATCTCAACATGGGATTATGACTGCATGAGCCCGCTCTACAGATGCACTGTTAAAGATATGTGAGGCAACAATCAGAGAGATGAAATAAAACCCCCATATTTAAAAGTAATGTACGGTCTGAGCAGGAATCAGTAATGTGGAAACTATAACAACTTTAACACAGAACAGAAATAATCTGCAATAGGTTTAAACCAAGAGTAAATACAGTATATCAATGCAAAAGGAGTCTTGTTGGTACAGAGGTGGATTGTGGGACACTGGGAGAGCATTAGGGGGGCTGCCTGTCTTTGCATGTATAACAAAGACTTAAAATGAAATTGGCACAGGCTCACATCAGTTCTGGAGCGAAAAACAGATTAACTCAACTGGCACAAAGCTGACCACTCTCCACAACAATAACAGAAAAAGATTTATACAATAAAAGAATAACATCTGTGAGCAAAATTACACTTAATAATAAATATGCCAAAAGGACAATACAAGTTTGTGGGGAGGAGGGAGGCAAATGTAGACAGTAGCTAAAAAGGTTTGAAAACAATTCATGTTAAAATGGAATGTATGGAGCACTACACACAAGAAGTTAAAGGAGGGGGGAAAAAAAAGAGGCTCAACCGTCCACTCTGTCATTTCATTGGTCAGAAGATTTCAGCGCTAACAGAAGGAGGGATATGGAGCAAAAAGCCTCACAGTGAAATGAAACTGATGATCTAGGTGTGGAGTTGATTTTCTTTACGCTCCAACTCAGCCTGTACGAGACTACCGATACAAACTAGATAATGGGTAATGAACATAAATACCTCATTTAGGTTTTAGTGCATGTGCGCATATATGTGTGTCCTTACTGTGTGTGTGTTGTTCTTATAAAGCTGATATGTGCATGTGTGCTCAGGCATATACTCATGTGCCTTAGTGACCATCGACGCAATGAAGAAACCAGTTTACTTAATAGTGCAGGAAATGTCTAAACATACTTCACAAACAAGGTTCAAGTAATCCTGGTTTTCATGACGCACAGACCTTTCTGGATTTCATCATCCAGCACATACACACAAACACACACTTGACCTGTCACTCTCAGTTCACACTCTGTAGACAGAATCTGATCGTATTACGTCTATCTTTTTTGGCTTTGAGCAGATGCTTTCATACATCACTATGCTAAATACAGTACAGCACATATATTAATTTACTCCTCTTAAATGGACTCTTAAATTATCTCTGAGGTCGGGAGATTTAGGTCACGCTCCGAGCAATGCTTCACTGCTGGATCATGCTCAACATCTCTAATCTATCTCTCAATCTTACATACATACACACGAACACACACTTTATTGAGTGATAAAAATGGCCTCTCTTAACCGTCAACTTTAGCATTTGATCAACAATGCAGATTCAGAATTTAAAAAAGAAAAGAAAAAAAAAATACATTTTGAAAAAGAAAACCATTCTAATAATGGTTTTGCCGCTCTGAGCAGAACTAAAATCACCTTCAGTAACTTTTCATACACTGTGGATGACTAATTTCTTAAACATCAAACAATTTAAAGAATAGCGGTTGAAAAGTGCAATAACTGTAACGTAATATAAACTTTCAAAGTGAAATGAAATCGATGCAGACAACAGTGACTGAACCTCAGTGGAGTGAAGCATTTCTTCTTCTTTCATGCAGGTGAATCATTCTTGGAGTGAAAATTACAACCGCTTGTTAAAACACAGCAGTTTTAACAGAGCTACCAAAAAGGCAGCCGTGTATGCATTCATTTTTAGCTAGTATAAAAAAAAAAAAAGAAGAAGAAAAAGTCAAATAAAGAAAACCCATGCCTGTCTTCTGAGTAGATATCTTGAAAAAAATGATGCAGGGCACAGCTCTGCAGGCATGCGCAAAGGGGGGCTGGGGAGGAGTTTGGATTGGGCAGAGGACGGAGTGGGGAAAGGCAAGTCGAAGACCGCTAAACCCATTTAGATCCCTTCCCCCAAGTCAGCAAATCGCTCTTCTTCTTCTCATTTTTCCTCCTCTTTTACGGTCAGGCATGATGGCAGACATCTCTGACCCTGACAGCGTCTGATGCCACTGTTGTTGTGAGTCCTTGATGCCTTTCAGTCGTCTTCCTTTAGGTGCTTGTAGGAAAGTGGTGTGACGGGCGCAATCTGCAAGAGCACAAGCAGACAGAATTTACTTTCATATTTCATGCAGTTTTTTCTTTTTGATTGTTTGCAAACAAGAGTAACACATATAGACACCATGCAATCACCAAAATCTTTAGAGAATCAGCTTTGATTGGCCTCGTACCCAGACACATGAAGGCACACCAATAAATGACACTTTCCCCACCACCAGACTCAAGCAGAAATTAGTAAAAGAAAGGCTCCAAATTTCACCCCCAGTTAACTGTTAGCCCTCAGCAGGGACACAGAACAGATGCACACTGTTAGGTTTGTCCGGCTGCGGTTTACCTGGACGTAGTGAGGAGGCCGTTCTCTGACAGCTATTGGAATAAAATAGAAATGAGGGTTAAACAGTTCTGTCGTCAAAAGCCTTGTGCTTCTGTTAAGCAGCAGATATTGATGACCCTGATGAACAGTGAAGGGAAGGTGAAACATTCAGGCCTGTCTACAGGGGGGTGGACAAAAAAATGAAGACATCTAGATATTTAAAGATATAACATGCAACATTTTCAACATTCATATAGCAGATATCAAACATATCCTAACTAAATATATTGAGTAAAACAGAAGTTGCATATTATACTTTTAAGACAACATCAAGGTCCTGACAAGGAGCAAAGATGCTCTCATCTTCTGTACCCTCAGTACTCTTGCTGACAAACCATTAATTCATTTTTTATCATCTCAAGATTATATTTGGGTGTTTTGGATCTTTCTTTAATAGTACAGATATAGAGAGACAGGAAATGTGGGAGAGAGAGAGGGAGATGGCAAGCAGCGTCCAGATCAGGAGTCGATCATACGACCAGTGGGGCGATGACTTTAGCCTCTGTGTACGCCTGCCTGCTCTACCAATTGAGCTTTACTGGCATCCTATTTGGATAATTCTTTACAATGCAATTTAGTAGATTCATTGAAGAAAAATGCTCAAAAAAGGATTTGAGAAGCTCAGTTAGAAACTCAACTCAATCTACCCAAAACTTCAGTATAACTCCTGTTACTATTACCTAACAATGGACACTAAAACCTTCATTATTAAATCACAAAATACATCATTCTAAAGATAAGAACCATATTAACGAAGAAAAATTATTATGAAGTCAAATTGTTCTTTGTGTCTTCTTTTGCCCTTGTCTTTTTTTAACTTCACAATGCAACTTTGCAGAACTAGGCTTACACTACAGATGTGATTAGCTGTTGGCTAATTGAACAAATTAGACAAACGCCACTTAATTATTATTTTTTAAACATTTACAAACTACTTTACCACAAAAACAGGCCGGGTTCGATCTGATCTGTGGCTACTTTCCCGCATGTTTTCCCCGCTCTCTCTCTCCTTGATTTCCGACTCTATCCACTGTCCTACCTCTCCAATATTTATTCCATAATGTGTTATTTATTCCTTTAAGATATTTTTGAACCATAAATTAGTTTTTCAACAATAGCAAATATTTCTGAAAGATCTCATGATGTGATGATTTCATTCATTTTGTTGTCATCCCCCTGTTTGTAATGCAGCAACATTCAGTCTGAGGTTAGGGCAACGTAACACCATGCAGTGAGCTCAGCTCAGCAACTTAGAATGCATCCATTATTTGCCAAGAAGTTATGCAGACAGCGAGCAGCGACACAGGTTTGGAACATGCACACAGTATGAAATAACAACGGCATAAACCATCACGTCACCAGCAGCACATGAATGTCAAGACGGGGAGTCTTACATCACAGAACACCTCTGGTGTACACAAAAAGCATCAACACTTAAACTGAGGCAATCCAGCTCCAAAATGTAGATGAACTGACATTTAAAAGACAAAAACAAATGTTTTTATTGAAGCACATGCGCGGGGGGGGGATGTGTTGTATAAGCTGGGCTGAAAGGAGCACATATGATTTGAACACAAAAGGGATGCAATCATGTAAAACAAGTGCAAAACTTGACCATTTTAACTTAAAGTCTTGAAAATAAAAAAGCGCATCTCTTCAGCCAGCCAATATCAGCTTATACAACACAAACACATTGGGTCTTGTTGATTGCAGCTTGTGTGCCTGAATCACCTTTGTGTCTTTTTTGAAATCTCAGAGTTAGAGACTCTGAGTTTTACTGCTGGAGGGGTGACTGGGGGAGTGAGTCTTTGATTGGCTTAATTGGCCTGAAGTTGGGCTGGTACCTGTTTAAATGACAGTATTGGACTCATCTGAAAAGGTTCTCATGAGCAGGGGCCTGGCTGAAGACCGGGGAGACTCGGGGCCCCCGGCGCTCGACTGACCCAGCTTCTTCTAGAAAGGTGAGGCAAGAGACACCAATGACATCACTAGGCTGACAAACAGACACTTTGCCTCTCTCTCTCTCTCTCTCTCTCTCTCTCTTGTTCTCATCACTGCACAGACACATACACACACATACACAGGGGACAGACAAATAGACACACAAAGACTTGAAAACTGGACAGGTGGACATTTAAAATCAGTCCAGCTGACCTTTGAGACACCTTTTCCTTGAAAAAATGTTCTCCTGATTTTTAAAAGACTGCTATTCTTGCACATTTCTTAATAGCATGTGTGATATGACCCGCACACGCCAAGACAAAAATGCAGATGCCCACAGGGTTTGTGGTGAGGATCCAGGCTGAGGTTGTTGACTTGAGCCCCATGCAGGTAAGTTTAGGTGCTTTGTCGTGCTGCATTCACCTGACTTGACATGCGGAGGCAGCAGGCATTGGAGCAGCACAGGCGGCCAGAAGGAGACACCAACTGATACAACTCGACAGACAAGAATGAAGGACTGCACGTTTTTAGCATGGACACCCGGTCCTACTCCACACTGCTAGTTAACTTGGGAACAAGTTGCCTCACTGAGAATGATTCCTCTTAATTTAAGCAACACGTATTGAAACAAAGAACACATGTCTAGGCTCATGGAAATTCATCTGTATTTCTGACCTAGGCTATTCAACCAAGTGGTGACTTTAAAATGCCAGAGTGGGGCCCTGAGTTACTACAGAGGGTAAGACAGAGGTCTAACAGTGGGAGAGGAAGGACACAAATGGTGGAAAACAAGCAAGACTTGAAGACACAGAGACTCTGCAGGACGAGGCTTAAGAATATGGGCTGACAGAAGGAAAAAGAGACCTCAGTCGCTCCACGAGAAGCTGTGAGAACTAGCTGTCTGCGACAACATGAAGATAGTAGATGTCCCCGAGGAAGGAAGGCGATGTTGCATCTTTAGAGGGGCAGGTCCAGTGAGGAAGAGAAAAGAAACAAGAGGGTGAGACAGAGCAAGGAGATATAAATTAAGGGGAAAGCAGCGGCACCAGTTAGATAAACAAAGTTGTGGAGGAGAAAATTAAGTTTGAAAAAATAAAAAAGATCCAAGGGCTGTTTATTAAATTAAATATACAATGTTTTTTTTTATAACAAGTGTCATTCTAATCTGTAGATTTTAATTCTACAGTATACCTGGTCTAGTGTTTATTAATCAAATATTTATTTGTTAATTTTCAGTGATGGATCAAAACTCCCCCCAAAAAATTATTAAAAACAAACAATGCATAAAAACATAAATGTTGTACAAATCTGTAGTATTACTCCGCTTAAATGTGCAAAACATTTGGTTGAGTTTATTTTCTTTTCCTAAATAAAATGTGTCTAGACACGATTTAACAACAACATTTGGGAACACACCCAACAGCACAGCGCCTACCACCAAACATTTCCAGCTGCTTGGTAAACACATTAGCCACATGGAGCGCTAATGACAAAGTATGTCGGGGAAAGTTGTCTTCTGGAGGAAACTGATGGGAAAATCTGACTGTCCCTCAACAGTCACACCAACAACTAGCAAAGAATCTGCTATTCTGTTTTAAACCTAAAAGCCTAGCCAGGACAGGGGCTGCAAATTAGCCACGGCTAGAAACCAGTTTGCATGGCATCTACTTTGTATTTAATATATGAAGCAATGTTCACGGCATGTGTCCCTGTTAAAGAAACAAATCAAATCAAATAAACGGTCATTAAGATGCAAGCAAGGAAAAAAGCCTGGTTAATTGTTCTGTTATATTATTCTTTTATCTTGGAATGTGGAAACTACATTATATCCTAAAGAAGAAAAATAATATGTGGAATTATTTTTAGAGACATCTTAAACTTCTAAATACAAAAGGGGATAAAGAGCCAATTTATCAGAAAAACATACCTTACCGTTTGGTTTATGTGTCATCAAAGCTAGCGCAGTGATGTCATGGATTAGAGGTGTGTGTGTGTGTGTGTGTGTGTGTGTGTGTGTGTGTGTGTGTGTGTGTGTGTGTGTGTGTGTGTGTGTGTGTGTGTGTGTGTGTGTGTGTGTGTGTGTGTGTGTGTGTGTGTGTGTGTGTGTGTGTTTTTGGAGACCAGCTGGTATAAACTTTGGACATTGATGAACAGAGGAAGGGAGTGTTATTGAAGGCAAAGAGTCCCATAAAGGAGAAATCCGTTTGTATTTGAAGGACTTGACTTCAATCCATCTTGTGACTAAACCACGTCCACCTATTTCACCTCACAGTAAAATAAATCAAATATGGGCTCCATTATCCACAACAGAATCCTTGAGAAAATAAGTGGTTAAATTGTGACATATTTATAGAAGGTTTGGTTGCTGTAAATCTGGGACAGAGAGAGAGAGAGAGAGAGAGAGAGAGAGAGAGAGAGAGAGCACTAGAGAGAGAGAAGTAGAGTGCGAATATGTGTGTCAGGTCAAGTGTGTGTATGTGTTTCAGCTCTTACCTGTCGAGCGTTGGGCCCTCGGGGCTTGCGGAACACCACAAGCAGGATCTCTGGCAGTAGGCTGACGAGGATGAGCAAGATGATGACCAGCCATGCTGACACTGAGCTCAGCATGTTGGCAAACACAAAGTACAAACGCTGCTGCTTCAGGAAAGGCCTGCAGGAGAGGGAAGACTTTGGTTTACAAGGACTGCAGAAACAACATGGGTTGAATGGGAATATAATATAATAGTTAAGCTTATATAACTACATAGGTTGATTTATTTCGAGTTGTTTTTCCTTACCATATTATTCCTCCCCAGAAAAAGCTGAAAAACACGTAGAAAGCCAGGGAGCCCCAAATTACAAAGTGGTTGATCCATGTCCAGTGCCGTGTGTCCAGAGCAAGCTACAATTAAAAATAAAGCAGATGTCAAATATCCAACACTCGTCTACAAACTCGATGTTCTCAATGAGCATTCATATGAAACCTCTGAATCTACAAGAAATAAGACAAATACAAATCAGAATAATTTACCTTAAGTGTAACAGTGAAGACAAGGACAGTGAAGACAATTGTTCCATACGACCAGTTGCCAAATACCTGGATTTAAATAAGATAAAAGAGCAATTTTACTTAAGAGACATTACTTAAGAAGTGATTTTAATATTATTTTCATGAAGAAAAAGGAGTTAAATCACACCTGGCCGTTATCCTGCAGTGCAGGGTTACTGAACAAAAACCGGACACCAAAGAAGAAGAGCAAGCCATGGAAGACTCCAAGTAAAGTCCAGTAGAGGAACAGTCCCCACCGCAACATGGCGTTCTTGGCAATGTCTCTGAACATAGTTATGAAAGTAAGAAAAGTACAACATCAGTGTTCAAAGTCTCAAATATTTGAGTGAGGAATGAGAACAAGTCTCCCTACTGAAAAAAAATTAAACTAACAGCAGTGAGAACAATACAGTTCAATGGAGCAAAAGCATGAGCTTCTTCTAAAAAGAAGTAACATATGGTTTTTGTAGTAACTGCTGTGATGTCTCTTTGATTTTGTGACTTTACTATTCGTCTTCTGTTTTATAATTCTTTATAATTTCTTATAAAGAAATATAAAAAAGGATGACTATACAATCAAATAGTCAAGTTCTTATAGTTCTAACCAGTGCTCCTGTGTCTTATAGAGGGCGAAATCTGAACTGATGTGAATATTGCTCATCTTTACATGAAGTAAGTAACTTAGCAGGCATGTGTGTATAGCTTCAAACATACTGCATGTACAGGTAGGTTCCTTTGTTTACCTGTAGAGGGTAGCATTGTCCAGCAGAACCTCAATACAAATGTGCTGCTCAAGGAGACTGTAAGCCAGGATGGGCATAGAGGTGAAGCAGATGTTGTACATCGTCAGATAGGCCGCGTCATACAGGGGCTGGGGAGGATGGGAGCAGGAGGAAGGGGAAAGGAGGAGGAGGAGGAGGAGGGATGGGTCAACCAGGGGTTAATATCACGGAGAGGACAAAACTCACACACACCATCATACTTACACAGACATGAAGATATATAAGCAAGCTTATATAGATCTTTTATCGACTTATGATTGATCTATGTCAGGGTACAGGGATGAGGACATTCATATTTTAACAAAATGAATAACAAAATACAAAACTGCAACCAAATTGGTATGAGATCAACTACTCCATACTACAATACATATAATGCATCATTAAGTCATGATTATATAATATCCACAAGGTACCATGGTGGAAGAAAATTACTCACATAATGACACACAGAAGTGCAATGCAATTAAAGTCAGTATAAAACAAATCAATCAGAGCTCAGACATCCCAGGGGCAGTGAGGTAGGGGCAAATCGGAGGGAAAGAGTTGAACATTTAGGAGGACTAGGACTCCTGGATTCAAGGGACACCGCCTCCTTTCATCTTCACAACATCTTTGAACTTTAAAGGGTCTCCGCTCATACTCACTTGCTGGGAATAGCCACAGAAGAACTGGTACAAAAACTGAGGTAAGATGAAGCAAAGGTTCTGCAGGCAAAACAGAGAGAAAGAGAACAAGGCTCACGATGGTGGATGGAAACATCAAAGAACATGAAATGAATTCAAACAGTGAAGTGCTGAATAATGCAATATATGGATCTGAATTCACCCTCAGGGATAAATAAAGAATAAAATTACAAATAAATTAACCAAAAAGCATACTCAATTCATGAGGAAGATTTATTCCATCACATAAAGTCAAGTGTGTGGATTTGTTTAGGAAACAGACTTTGCTGAAACTTACAACAAGTTCTTAGTCTGAAGATGTAAAGTCAGTGCTCCTCTTACCTTGTAAAAGAAATATTGCACCAGGTGTGCAATGCGAACATAGTAGAGGTGTCCATGAGCCAACAAAAGTTTCTTGAGGTGCTTGAGTTTGGGGATGGCGTAATCGCTGTTCCTCACTGCCTGTCGTCCCTCTTTACCCTTAATACCTGAAACACCAAGAACACAAATCAAGTCACAAAATCTACACTTCCCCAGAAAACCAGAAACAGATCTGTGAGCTTCAACACAAGACTTCTTACCAATACCAACATGAGCTTCCAAAATCATGCTGACATCATTGGCACCATCTCCAATGGAAAGGGTGATGGGGCATCCTTTGGAGTTCTTCACCATCTTAACAATCTAAAGGAAGCGATGCAGAGAGGAACAGTAAATAATAATGAACGTATTTGATGAGTTTGTATCCCAAAGCTATCACCAATCTGAACACTGCAATAAAGAACACTGCACTGCAAACTGAATAGACACTTTGGACAATCCTGCAAATGTTTCAGTGCAATTACAAATGCAATATTCTTATTTAATTAAAAATGGTGCAGTATTTTTATTTCATATTTATTATACAGCAACTTCTACCTTATGTCTTTATACATTGGAACTTTGTTTGCATTTTTTTTATACTTGTTTAAGTATGGTTTTTTTTACTTTTACGTTTATTTTCTCGGATTCTATTTGAGCTCTGCAACAGAATTGTGCAACAGATTTGAATTCATCTGTAAAATGACAACAAACATCTATTTATTCTATTTGCAAAAAAACATTATTATTTAAACTCCTAAATAAGTTAACATTTTCCACATTGTAACTGACTGATCTGACCTGGGCCTTCTGTAGAGGAGCCATGCGGCAGCAGAGCACAGCTGTACAGTTCTGACAGATCTGCAGAAACAGGTTCTTGTAGCGACTCGCGTTGGATTCAGAGGAGGAGTTTAGCACCATCGAAAGAGTGGCTCCATCTATGATAAAACCGTAATCCTGGTTTGCCGAAGACCAGCGCCTAAAAAAACAAAACAGGGCCATCCGTTTAATCATCAATAAGATTTGTATGATTAAATGATTATCCTGATTCAAGAACAAAATATCAAACTCAGTCCAAATAGAGACCCTGTGAGTCATGGTACTAACCTGGTGACACCTGCTTTAACTGGTGGTGCATCCTGCACGGCTTTCTTATGGTAATCAAGCAAGAGCTCGTGCAGTCGTTCCTCACGCCTTCTCCCTCCATCCTCCAGAGTACGCACTGTCAGCTCCAGCAGCTCTGTACTTCTCTGGAACAATCTACAAGCATAACAGGTGGACTTTGCCGTCTCCATCTTATCTCCTGTAAGGACCCAAACATTCATGCCCGCCCCCTGCAGAGCCTCCATGGTCTCTGCTGCCTCCTCTTGAAGCCTGGGGAAAGAACACAAAAGAAATGGAACAAGTCAAAGTACAGCCTTTAATGATGTTTTTAAATCTTGGAATGTGGAAGAGTACCTAATGTCAACCACAAGATGGCAGCCTAAACTCACAAAATAAAAGTTCAGATAAGCAGAAACTTTTAGCTGTCACTGAAAATAATTGTGATAGAATAGACAGTGTCATACTGAGAAGAACACTATCAGGATGGGTGATGTGTTAAGAAGGCATGAAGCAGGAAAAAGGTGCCAAAAGGCCTAAGGTCTAATATAAAACAGCTGCAGGAGGTGTTGTGGTTGCATAAGCAGAAGAAGAAATTTTCTGATAGTAAATTATTTAGAATAGGATGTTTCTGGCAGGTTTTCTATTGCTGGCTCCATGAAGCCTTTGGCCTCTCCTGTCTATTTAAAATGTATTTTGAGATTTCTCTAAATGGAGGGATGGGGAAGATGCGAGGAAGGAAAAAAAAATCCAAGTCTTTGGAGAACATTAAAACATCAGCTATTCAAGTGAGAGCTGTGTGGTTGTGTTGTGTAAGCACCCACCGATCTTCTACAGCAGTTGCTCCTATCAGACTCATGCCGGTCTCCACCTGATTGTAAACAGACATGAGCTTCTGCTCTCTGTCCTGCAGAGCCAGCCGAGCTTCCCTCAGTCCTGCATCTGCCTGGGCGTACTCCTCTTCACTAAGATATTTGTAGGCCACACAGAGCGTCCTGTAGCCCTCCTGAACAGCGACACACAAAGCAACCAATGTCATGAAAGAAGGCACAAAAAGTCTGCCATCATTGTTATTATAAATGTAACCCTGTATGACCCCAGAGTCACACATTATATAAATCTGAACATTTTAAAAACGACATGATTTGGAAAGGCAGTTTGGTTATGGCACCCACTGTTGCATTACGCTCCACATGCATGCGTATCCTTTCGACCTCCTCTTGTTTGACACGGGGAAAGATGGAAGAGTCAGCTCCCTTACAGAAGAGCAGTGTCTCACCTGAACACACAAACACAGAAACAAACAAACGTTAAAGTGCAATGCTTGTTAAGTGTTTTATAACCAACACTAAATCAAAGTCAATGCAATAAACCAGACAGTGAACCCAGGCTCACCTGATTTGGATCTGACTATTACACTCATTCGCCTTCTTACAGGATCAAAGTTCAACACATGAAGGAGTTCATACCTTTGGGAAGTGAAACAAATACAAAGAAGCCAAAAATAAATCAAAGCAGGAAAATATGTTAATTAAAAACTTTGATGTAATTACCGGTACTAACTTACATTTCAATGTCCTTGTTCCTGTTGAGAATTTTCATAGTTTTGCTCTCCAGGCCCAGAAATGTGAAGCCGTACCTGCAGATGGAGACAAATCCTCACAAATGAGCAATTCATGTACTCATTAATTCAATTCAGACAACTTTATCAATCCCTCTAGAGGCAATTTGTTTGGAGCAGCTTGTACATAAAAGACAAATAAAATCACAGCAAATAGTGATGGAAACAAATACACAAGGGCAAAATATGAAATAAAATATAAAAATAAATACGGATGTTAAGCAGACTGAAAAATAAACAGACTGTATCAAAATAATTAAAGGATCAGTCTCAATAAAAGGATAAAAGGACCAGTCTTGCAAAAAAACATGAGCTATAACAATTGTTGAATAAATAAAATTTAAACACGCTATAATATATTCATATTCAAATAACATGCTTGATCTTTCTACAACTGTCTTAATGGCAGTTCATTTCCCTGATTGACTACAGCCTCTCTCTTACCTCATTGCACCCTTGACCAGAGCAACCTCATCAGGTGAGGAGGCTATAAAGCCTCTCTGCTCATGAGCTGGATGGAGCACCTCTCCATCCACCCCTAAGCCATCCACCTGGTTTGTCAGTCCGTCCCCTTGGCCTTGACCCTGCTCTGAAGACTCTTTCACCTGGACTGTGTGGCACAGGCACAGGGCACGAAGAAACAATTCCTCCCTCTCCTGGTAACACAAAGTGAACATGATTAAGATCAGTAAGATGAGATAAAAGACTGAATTAATTCATTTACAGTCTCATAAAAAAGACACATACAGAAGCTGGAGTTCAGATAAAGCTCAGAATTTACAGCTATTTGTCAACACTGACTTCTTATCACCATGAGTGTTGAAGTGCAACAGTCTCTAAAGTGTGATCAGGTGCTCAAGCTAAGAGCACAAAGTCAATTTGCTCCCCTCTATGTTGAGTACTTATGTTGACATGTCAAGGAGGATGTATGTAGGTGACCTATGCAGGGTTTTTCTGAGCAGCGAGCTATGTAATGTCCATATGGTGCCGCTTGTGTGTGAGTGAGTGTTTTTTATTTATTTATTTTTTTACAACAGATGGAGGGATGCCGCAATACCCACCCTGCCAGCTTTCTGCTGTAGTTTGCTCACAGGTCCATCTGGGACACACAATCCGTCCAGCTCAGAGCTTTCATCCTGGTACTTGTACTGGAAGCCGTCGATGCAGCACTCGATGAACTCCATGTTGTTCTGAGTAAGGGTGCCAGTCTTGTCTGTGAAGACGTACTCCACCTTCAAGCAATGTCATAAATGTACATGACGGATACTTTCAAACCCATAAAAATTCAGCCTGCAGATTTAACAAGTCTAACAATAAGATGAGGCAGTAACCCACAGGAAGAATTACAATTCATCCCGTTTAACGAAGCATCACCTTTAATTGAAGTAATCATCTGACAAACCAAGTGTGACTGATCTACGGCAGCAGTGTTTGAGTTTAAAGTGAGATAAAACGGGTGAAGTCAGGACAGTGCAGGGAATCTGGTGTTTTTATAGGCAGGACTAATTTCAAGAATTATTTAAAAGTCAATTCTAATTATAGCAACACCTACATCAGTAGATATTTTTCTATTAGTTTAGTATTTGGTTGGCACTAGCTGTGAATCAATCCAGAGCCTGAATCATATAAGACAAGTTGGTGTTCTTAACTTTCATGTGGACATCATTAATGGACACGGCATATTTGTTGTTTGAAAAAAGGTCCACATTTCTAAAAAGGGTTGATATTACAATAAGGGTTATTCTTCCAGGAAGCAAGTTTCAAAGGCTACAATCTAGCGCCACCACTTGTACATTTTTCAGATTGAATCAACATTCAAGGACACCTTGTTCCATTTTATAATAATACAGGACTTTTAAATGCCTTGAAAGAAGAATAAAACATTATGCATTATTAATAAGTGGGAATGCTGACTTTCAGAAATCAACTCCACGAAGACATAAACTGCTGTCCTTCTTCCTGACCTGTCCCAGCTCCTCGTTGAGGTCTGACGTGTTGACCAGCGCTCCCTCCTTGATTTCGGGGTCGAAGAAGTCCTTGTCCCAGGTGATGAAAAAGGATCCTAAAAACTTTTGCATCTCAACCGTCACATACATGGACACGGGGATGATGAAGTTAAAGAGCACCATGAATGACAGGAAGTCGGTGAACATCTTTAGGTACTGTTGGAAAAATGAAAACAGACACCATTTTTAATGTATATCTTACATTACTTGCCTACATTACCCAAACTACACATAAGCAGGCAGCGACAGCACAATTGTAACACAGTGTTAACAGTTCATGAGGGGCTACAGCAGAAGGTTAACAACCAATGAAATGGACCATATCACAATATAGGTCTGCAGTGGCCTTCTCCCCAAGAAGAGTTTTATGAGTCTGAATCAGGAGAGGATAGGGCTAGTAAAATGCAGTTTTACAATGAAACTGTGAGCTCTACAGGATGAGTATTTTCTGTATTAACTGCAGCCTCCAAGGTTCAGGAAACAACTGTGATACACATTATAAAGAGTACTGATGTAATGTTATCAAGGACTTTAAGATGCTACTTTGCTCATGTTTATTCATACCATTTTTTAGAAAGTTTTGTCATGGACTCTTCTGATAGTTGATTGCTTTGACTACAAAGACAGGCAGGTTGCTTTACTGTGTACTCACCAGATTGGTGTCCTTCTCTCTCTGGGTTTTCTCGTTATACCAAGGCTCATCTTGTCCGGGCTTGCCCTGCCACACATACTTTAATGTTGTGCACACTAGAGCCTTGCTAACCAATATGCAAAGGTAAACCAGAAGGAAGGCATTGATGGACCTGGAAAATAGGAAATTATATAAGGGAGTGCCACTAGTATTTCACGTATTTCAAACATTAGGGATGGGGTTCATAGGGTAACTCATAACACCATGATACAATATGCAATACATAGCCCATGATAAGGATAATATCCCAATACATTGATTACGCCATACTGATCTGATCAAATCTTTGAGAAATTTCAATCTGTTTTCAAAGCTTGTCATAATTAGAATAGAATAATATAGCTGTATTTGTCATTGTACAAGTACAACAAAATTTGGTCAGTGCAAAGAACCCTTTACAAAGTGCTAGAAATAAAATACAAATATCAGATTCTAAAAACACATCACACTTTAACGCACATTCATCCTTTCACATTCCATTGGGGCACAGGTACAGATTGCACAATCAAAACACCGAAAAGGTAAACACTGAGCCGCTGCGCTCATGCTTGCCGCCATAATTTGCCCCACCCCTGCCAAACATCTCTACAACAATTCTTCTAAACCTACTTCTCCACAGCCGAGCGTTTCTGAGACTTGCCCTGGTAGTTAAGGGCCATCTTTGTCTCCATGCCTGTGTAAACTGCAACACCTGCAGAAAGAAAAAAGAGAAGAATGTCTTAAGATACTGAGCCTCACTAATATATTGTTGTAATAAGTCAAAAACCATTTGACTCACCACAGATTTTCTGAGTGTTCTTTAAAGTTGCCCCTTTCAGCAGAAGGTTTTCTGGGCCCAAAGACCTGCACAATCACATCAGCAGATCAAACAGTTCAGGCACACAGAAGCTGTGTAATCAACACACTCCCCCCCCATTCTCTAAATGGAAACCTGGCAGGCAAGCTGGCATCTACTCTAAAATTCACAGTGACAATACACAGTACTACTGCGGTCTGGGCTTTCACCAGTCTCAGTGTTCTTGAGAAGGACACTGGCATTTGTTTATACGGCCATTACAAAATAGTCAGTGATAGATGCCTGTGGGAGAGCTTTGGAAGCAGGGGCAGCAGCCAAGCCAGCCTGTTTTACAGCTTTTCTACAATGAAGGGTCAATGGAATAATGTATTTTTGGTGATTCAAAGGGAAGAAAGTGAGTGCTCAAATAACTGTGGTTGGATTTAGTGTTCACTGAGTCAGTTGTGCATGAGTGCTCTCACCTTACTGCAGGCTCTTGATTGGTTTTGTAGATGTGCATGCGTCCAACAAACCTAGAACAGAAATTACATAAACACTCAGAAGCTATAGACATTTGTGAAAACAGCACATCTGATCATTTCTTTCATGTATATTTCAATCTGTTCATAAAACACTGGATTTAAAATTGAGGTATCCGAAAACTGCAAAGGTATCTTAAGATGGAAAACTGTAGATACTCAGTGACCTAAAATCAGTTGCAGAAATGTGGGAGCCAGCTGATCACTGGTGGTTAGCCAGCAGCATGCTGTCAGTTTTATTGACTGAATAGCAGGCATTTGGAGCCACGGCTTACTTTGCCCGTCTCAAACACCTTTCTGATGCCTGGCTAAATGACAATATTCCTACAAAAAGGGGGAGCCACAGGACGTCTGTGGACAGATCTGAGATTCCTAAAACTAATAAATATCGGCTTTAGGATGAGCTCACCAAAGAAAACTCTAATTATCAGGCCTACTTTCACCATTCCTAATATAAAACTAAAGTAAGCAGTGTTTCCCCTAGGTTTACAGTTTTGGGGGGGTGGGGGTGCAGGCAGACGGACGCCGACACAAACACCTCTTGGTGTTCATGCGTTACTTTTAATGACAGATGTCCCGTTCTATCGGAAAGATATCCTTAAATGACTTCTTTCCCTGATTTCCAACTCTATCCACTATCCTATCTCTACAATACAGGCACAAAAAGCCCAAAATGAAATCTAAAAAAAATAATAATAAAAAAAAATATATATCTTAACTTGACCTTCAAGGGGGGGCGGGCCGCCCCCCTAATATAATGGTAGGGGACACACTGGTAAGTGTATTAAGGCTTTGAAGAACCTCTCCATTTAACAACACATGTTTACATTAGTGTCATTGAACACACTTTCAACCAGCATTAAGTTGACGCAAGGCAAAACAAAACATGCTTGTGGTGTAAACTTGTTGAGGCCACATGATGAGTTCCTACTTGTAAAGGTCAGGCTGCGGCTGTTCACACTCAATGGTGGCGTTGAGGGATTCCAGATCCTTCTCAGTGTCTGGCACTGTGTAGTGTGTCTGTAGAGGAGGTGGAGAGAGAGAGAGAGTGAGCGTCCCTCGGCTCAGGTCAAGAGATCATTTTAGCTTTCCCCTACCTCACACTCACAGACACTACATGAAAATAAGGAGACCTCAAATACCTAAACACTGTGACTGAAACTTGAGCACAGAAAAAAGACAGAAATATGTACTTTTGAAGAACTAGACAATTGTGATGTTAAATAACTTGAACATATTTACTGAAGAACACAATTCTAGATCATACCTTCTCTAATCTTTAAAAGCATCACGTTTATAAACTAAAACCAATGAAAGCCACATTTTGGACAATAATCCTTACAAAGTAACCACCTACAACTTAATCATACACATAATGGAAAAAGATGGGGACAGCAGAGTGCTCCCTCTTACTTTATGGTTTGACTCTCCATCCAGACTTGCTGTGGTAACAAAACATGTGTCGTCGCCTCGGCTAGACTGCAGCAGTATTAAATCACAGGGAAAGGTCTTATCTTCCTCCACCTCCACAACATCTCCGACCTGATAAAACAAACACATCCAAACACAGCCTTTTAGGAATGATGATGGTTCACTTTCTCCAAGTTATGAGTCACCAGATCATCGAGGTCTGTCATAGCATTAGTGGCGAAGGTTTAAACAATCACAGCTTTGAGCAGTATTACCACCAGGGAGCAGAAGGACTCCAAATTAAATGCATCACTTCTGATTTCAAATTAGCAAACAACTGCCAACCAAGTTATTTTGACTTTCTAAATGTTTACTTGAGCTCTTGTCCTTTCAGCAGTAGGAGACACCCTCCTGTTGTGTGAGCTCCTGTACTGGATACAGCTGTCCAAAGACTCACACAGAGTGACAATGTTTTGGTTTTGACAGCTGGATCTTGATTCTCAGTGGTGTTAGCCGCACTAGCAGCACTTTAATATGACAACAAGTAATTTGTTTAACTCTAAATATTAAAATATATGTAATGTTTGCATTTTATGATGTAATTATTATTAATGAATACCATCATGGTTTAACTTTAATATTTTAATGCCTGTTTAACCCCACTGACACCCATACATCCTTAAAAAAAATACTGTAGCATACAACAATCAGGTGATTCTGTATTGGAGAAATAGCCTGCACAACATACCCTGGATTTATAATTACCATCACTGCCGTGTTTGAACATGTAATCAGTTCAGCAGTGCATGTTCTCCCCTGTGCATTTATTCCAAACACTGTCGTGTCAAGCTGCCAGCAGCTTCTCTTTGGACATGTCTCCAAGGAAATATAAAAGGTACCTTGATCTTCTCACTCTCCTTCCGTATCCTCCGGCCGTCCTCCAGCACTGTTACTGGGTACTTGTTCACCTCATTGTCAGCTTTGTGCCGTAGCCAGTCCTCATAGCCCTATGGCAGCATATGAGAATCAGGTTAACATCATTTGCTTAGTCCTAGAAAACTCCAAAATATGGTCTTGGTAGTATTATTACCTACAGGACAGTGGAACTTAAACTGTTAGATAGGAACATCGTGTCTGCTAACAAAAAAAGTCAATCTTCACAATTATTATTTTATTACTATTTAAAAAAGTGCCTGCAGCAGCAGGATGGAAAAGCAATTGTCCAGTATTAAATTGAAACAGTATATCATGAAATAACACTGAGCTGGGTAAAAACATAATTCCTGGGGCTGCTGGAGCAGCAGCATACGCCACAGAGCCTGGTGTTGCCTTCACAAGTACTTTAAGATAGCGATAGAGATTGAGGAGATGCTGAGGAGATGCTGAAGAGATGCAAAGGGTACAAAGGAAGGAAACCACAGTGTGTGCCAAGATGGATTTCAAGCCAAAAGTTGGATTACCAAGGAAGATGATAAGAGGAGAGAGAAATGTGGTTGAGTGATGCAAAGCAGTGATGGCAGGTGGATGAAAGGGGGAGAGAGGCAGGGGAGGCAGGGGAGGTGTTCCACGGATGGTCAGTTGAACCATACAGTTCACCTCAGCCTGACTAATGGAGTCGGGCAGATCGCCTTGGTGTCCTACTTCAAAGCCTGTCTGAAGGCGGTCCGCCACTATCAGTGCACACCACATATTTTCAGAAGGAAGTCCGCCCACTATTGTGCATTTCAAAGCCCCAGCAGTCGACTTACTAAAAAGACAATCCTAAAACAATATTTCTAAAGCTGAGACTCAGCAACAACAGACTGAGAGAAAACGACACTCTGCTTGATCATTTGTATCTCTGTAATAGACTCTCTCTCTCTCCTACCCATTTTTCTCCAATTTCCACAGAGCCTATTCTGTCGTTTATGCTGTCAGAATTCACCAATGAAGAATGTTAATACAAAACTCAAGAGAGCTGTAGTCACGTACTTTATACAAAAGCACAGCACGGGATTGAAGAAGGCAGGGGGACTAATTGTGTTTAGAGGAGATTGAGGAAGGATATAATACCGGGGGGACAATATGAGGAAATACAACTAAAGAGAAAGCAGAATATAAAAACTAGAGGTCACCCATTATTGGCCTGGCCGATTATCAAATTATTTTATTTAAGTGCTCTATCTTGGCTCCGCTGCAGGTGGGTTTTTCCCTCTGGATCTGTTTCACTCACCACCCTGTCTCACCTAGGGTCCTGTCCTGAATGCCTGAATGACTGACATCACACAAGTAATAGCCAATCAACACTAAAGCCTGAAAGCCACTGACATGCACAGAGACGAGAGCAGCGTGGAGCAGAGCTTCTGGTTAAGCATTTACACAAAGTCTTGTGTTGGACTTTGGAATATTCCCAATTCTAAACTGCAGAAATGTTTGAATTTTTCTGTAAAAACATATTGGTTTTAAATATCAGTTATTGGTCTCATGAACTACTTATAATCTGTATCAGTATCGGCCCTGAAAAAAACAATATTGGTCGACCACTAATAAAAACATTCCTTTGATCAACACTCATTAGCAACATTAAGCTGCCTCTTACCTGCTTAATAGCCGTTACTGTGATCACAAAAAACAAGGGTAGGCCACTGGTGACTGGGCTGGTGGGTGTGTCCACTATCACCTGTAGGGGAGCAAAAGAAACAATTTCACTCAAGAGAAGTATGACATTAACACTCTTTAATCAACACACATTTACTGTCCTCAAAGGCTTACTGCAGCCCATGTCTTTGTGGCCACAGAGGGAGGAATTTGCGGTGATGGTTTCTGAGATGTGTTTTGCCCTCTAAATGCCGGGTGTAGTCTCTTTCTGTAAGGCAGTTCTATTATCCCCCTTTTCATCATCAGGAGGAAACACAGGGGAGACATTTACATTTTGCAAAGGGAGCCAGTAAGGTTCTGGACCACAGAACTTTTAATCAAGTGGGCAAGGGACAGAGTGCTTTATCTGCAGGCATGCCAGCACTTCTGTGTCGCTGCCAAGGCAGAGGGAGAGAGCCAACACAATCTTTGCTGGACTCACCTTACCTGACTGAGCTGTGTGAGATTCAAACTATATTGTATGTGTTGTATTTTTATGTGCAGTATACTGCTGCTCATGGAAAGTCAAGTCCCAAAATCAACAGCAAAGAAAACACAGAGGTGACTGGCTCTTTGTCAGTCCTGTATTTGTACTTTTGTTAGAAGTGTTGCAGTGTAATTCAGCACAGAATAATAAAGGAATAACACGAAAATTTCAAAGTGACCTTTTGGTGCGAGCTGAGCTGCACCTAGCTTTTTCAGCTATAGATCCCTTCGGTGTTCCTCACTCACATGATTTTACTGGGAGCTGAAGCAGCAGAGGTCTCAAACAAACTGTTAATTACAACTGGGAAGTCATATATTTAAAAAGACATTAACATTGTTTAAAACATTCAAAGAGTTGTCGAGCCAGGAGCTGGCCCTTATTGATATCTCCGATAACTGTGAGTCTAACAGGTAAAACATAAGAACTATGAAGGATGATACGGTTTGGAGCTGGACTCAAACAAGTTGAAGAATGGTCAAAGCTTCATTATGAACAAACAAATACATATTAACTGATAAAAATTAAGAGGACTGCCCAAGTGCAGAATATCCTTAATGAGAATTTAGAGTGGGGTCAGTGATCAGGTAATCCCCGACAGCCTTGGCCAGGGCAGCACATGGCCAAGGCTCACAGCTAAAATCCCGAGACAAAAATGCTCTTGAGTGTTTGTGTGTTCCTTAAAACCATCATAAGATGGATTTACTGTGGCATTTCTGATCCTGCAGAAGGCATGCTGTTCTCCCCCTGAGCCGGAGAGCGTGTTCAAACTCGCACAGGCACGACATATCCAGTTCGTTGGTATTCTGACCAGGAGCATTACACGCTGTCAGACAGACATCAACTCAAGAAAGAGCAGGAGATGCGGTTTGAAGCAGTCTCCAGTGTTCTTTCTCACTTGTGCTTGAATTGAGAATAAAAACAAACCTGCTGCACCGCTGAATCTTGAATAGACCTGAACGTGCAGTCACATTCTGTTCCCATGCAGACGCCTACTCACACAAACACACATGTAAACAAACACGCATATAAAGTACAGCGAGCTGTGTTCTACTAGCCTACCCAAGCTTTCTCTGTCATTTCAATTAACTGGAGGATAAAACAATTACAAGGCGGCAGTGATGGAGTTGTGCACATTGACTTTTTCGAGGAGTGCCGATTTAGAGGACAGTCTGCATTTTATTTGTAATGGTTAGCAATTGTGGAAGACAGAAGCAAAGAGTAATAATTCTGCTGCAGTAGCCTCAGGTGTTGCACGCCAGAGGTGAGATTACTCAATGCTCAAAAAGAGCAGAGTGTGCACATGTGGATAGCAAATGGGGTTCTGTGTTAAAGACCCCATTACCCATGACACATTTCTGTAGGCGTTGCTAGAGGATTATAGAGTTCCTCTGCAGGAAATATCCATGTACCCTGACTATGTTAAACCTCCACTGTTTGCATTATCCAATCCCCAATGTCACACACTTTACCACCAACGGATGGTCATTGTGATGGCGTTCTTCATTTAGGCTTTGAAGTCAATGTATATATCCCTCCACATGTCTAGATTGAAGATTGGCTGATCCCAGAGAAAAAAAAGAAACAACTACAGGACAGAGTAATTGAGGACATCATGTCCCTCTGATGCAGCAGTCAGATGGCCAGACTTGAAAAAGTGTGACCACAGCACACAGAGTACGCTTCACAAAGCAGACTTTCAGCCTAAATGTCGTTTGATTGTGATTTCTTTGGTTCCTCGATTTTGATGGCATTTGTTCAATAGAGGACTATAAAAAGAGACGGATCAATCGGTGTGTTTTTTTTAGTATTCATCAACAATGATTCTATAAAAATGCTTTCTTTCATCTTGCACTACAAAAGTGTGCGAAATCAGACTCGGCAAGCTTCACAGGCATTACTGTATCAAGGACAGGCCTCGTTTCTGGAACAAGTTGAGGGTTAAAACTATACCCGATTGAAAATACTGCAGCAGCAGACTCCAAAGAACACTAAAAACCTTCAGAAAACCTTTAGCTACTGTACAGCAGCCAAATAATAACGCATACTTTTCCCAGAGCTCGCCTTACATAGTTTATCTGCACTGATTCAAAAGAATCCCTGTTAAACTTCCAGATGGCCCAATACCTTTCCTGCTCTGCACCAAATGCAAAGCCAAAAAACCCTCAGTGATAGGAGTGAACAGTGTGCTGATGCTGATGTGTTGCTGTGATATCAGAGCTGAAGAGCGAAGCAGCATAAAGCCCTTCATCTGTGCCGGGGAAGTGTGTCAGAGTGAGCGACAGACAGCAGGTTCCACGGGTCCCAGGGTGTGGGCCCCTGGTGTCCTCCACCCTCCCACTCTCTCCTTCTCTCTTTCTCTCCTTTTTCCCATTGCACTCTCATCAACGTTTCTCTCACCCTCGTCCCCCGTTCTATTCCTGTTTGATCAAATTCGAGCAAAGACATGCAGAGCTATTTTTAGCCGAGTGGTGCTTTTTTATCAGCCTGTGTCTATTTGTGGCTCTCAGAAGTACAGAGGGCTTCCTGGCTGCTGACGTCAGCAGTGCAGCGCTGCAGAGAGATGGGTGGAATGTGGGAGAGAAAGGAGGGGGGAAGAAAAATGGGGAAAAAAAGAGAGCAAATGACAAAAGGGAGATACAAAAGGAGGAGAGGACAGAGTTGCAGGATGCATGACATGTGGTCGTTGGTTGAGCATTTGCATAGAGCCTCTCGGGGGAAAGTGAGAAGGTTTATTTCTGTCGGTGAGATGCAAGTGTAAAGAAATGAGCGCGCACAGAGCCTGTATACCTGTTTCTCTCTCAACTCTTCTCTGTGATATAATAGCAGGCTGCATGGGAAAACTGAGTGGTTAGGATAAGGAGCCCCTCAAGAGAGGCTGGATTAGTGGAGAAACGCCAACCACGCTGCAGCGAGGGTAAACACCGTCAGCAAACCCAGGACACCCACTGAGTCATACATCACACACAAGCACATACACACATGCAATGTGTTCACACACAAACAAACACTCTGTACAAATCACACACGCTGACAATTATTGTGTGTTAGCATGTTTGGTGCAAACATGCATGCTAGTTTGCTCCAGCATTAACTCATGACAATTTCACACATTAGATCCCAACTGTCCATAATCCAGAACCTTTATTCATTAGCCGAGGATGATATGGAGTTGAAGCTGGCAGACTGGAGAATAGAGGCTAAAGTGAACTGTAAATACAGGTAGAAACAAGGGCAAGGGGGAAATATAAACACAGCAATTGATCTGCCATTGGCTCAAGAATTATGGAATTACTCTGTGACAGCAGCACAGTGAAATTTCCCTCTTTAGTACAGCGCTGAGCTTCTCGGAGCAGTCATTCTGTAAGCTCATTGAATCTGCATGTTCCTACAGAGGCCCATCTCAAGCACCTGTTTACTCTAAAGGGCTCTCTGCCACCAAAGTTTAGGTTATGCTAAAATTACGGATATTAGTAGTTTCCATCTTAGTAGATCAGAAAAAAGGGACAAGGAAAGAGGAGAGGCGAGTTCACTTCAGAGCGCAGAACAGGGGAATAAGAATGCCAGTCAATGCATCACTGTCAACGCTCTTGGCCAGCTGACAGCTTCCACTTCTAAGGAAAGGGAAACAGAATACAAGCTAACAATGAAAGACAAACTGGTGATCAGGGATCACCGTATCATAATACCCACAAACATCAGGTAAAATTGCCTTTTCTTTAATGATAACTGAAGAAATTACACTAAAAAAAAGACATGAAGTCCAAACACACTGATTCATCCTTTAAACCTTGTGATCTTATTTTAGACTAATGCCATACTGATGTGCTAGATAAAAGATATCTTCATGCTCTTAAGTAGTCTGAGCAGCCTGTGATGAAATCCTTTAATTAGGTAACATATGATCTGACAGCTCTGGAATAATGGACTTAATGGCTGGAAGACAAGAACTGCTGGATCACAATCTAAGTAGAGAAATTCTCATAACACAAGCTGGGTATGGTGGGTACGTTTCCATTTACACACATCCCTGGTGTTTGGTGTAAAGTCTCAGTGAAATGAAAGCAGTGTTAGAATAATGCCAGGTAAATGTACAAATAGGACGACATTTCAGTATTTTAAATATATATTTTTGTTTAATTTCCACTGACTTTCACACAGAAACGGGTCATAAAGTGTTGATATTTCATTGTGTATGGTAGCTTTGTTTCAAACACTGCTTCTCCATTCACTTTCACCACGTCGGGATCATGCAGAGATCAGCTGGTGGCTGAGTGACAGCCTGCTCACGTTACAGCCTGCTGTAGTGTGTTGCTGTAAACTTTTAGCCTAACTCTGTACGTGTTTCCATTTGAGAAGTCGACACGTGGGAAACAATTATTGCCTTTTTTTTTTGTTTACCGTTTTCTCTTCCTTGTCAATTTAGTCGACACGGAAACTGAAATGTCCCCACACCACTGATTTGAAAGACGGCAGTGTTTCCTCATACTGCAGCCTCTCCTCACTGCACGCCATGTAAAGGCAATGTGTGCAGTGTTGTCAGCTTCCCCAACTTTAGCTCATGGTGATTGGATAGTAACTCAATGGGGAGGTGGTTTCCTTATACCAGCACATGGACTCACAGGCACACACAAACAGAGCCAATTAAGAGAGAAATATTTTGCACGTAGGCTCGTAAACAAAACTGTAAAAGTGCAATTTACAAGCACGTATTGAACTGTGGATGTCGTACCTGATGGTTCAATATTATATTGAGAATTGTTGCATTCCTAATTCACATTATGTGAGAAGTCAGAGAGGAGAATGGAAAATGTTGAAGTATGTTTTGTGGTGTGAGAACAGAGCTTAATCCATTTTCTGAAGAAAACTGAATTTACATACATACGCATACACACAAGCTATGCAAGAGAAAGATGTTGACAACTGCTATATTACAAACATGTGGCAGAGTTCACACCGCCAGTAATGGTTTCACACACGCCTTCACAACATGCAAATGGATATATTTTCACACACTTCAAGTGACACATTAACCCATTCAGAATGACCATCCACAGGGCTCAACTTGCTCCATTATGCCGTCTGAAAATGTATCAGACATGTACACACAGACCCAGTCACAACAGGCATCCCATACAGTCATTATTTGTCAAAAGAAAAACTTGGTTTGGATTGAAGCACTGAGAAAGCTTTTCCTCACCTGCACCAGGAAGATGATAAGGAAGTAGAAATTGGCAATTCTTCTAAACTGTTCAAACAGGTTCTTTGGTAGAAAGTTCCAAACTGTGTACTGTGGAGGGAAGGAGAGAAAAGCGCATGTGAGTCACAGAGAAACTAAATAGTTATAACAGTGTCTGCTTTTTCCTGATCTTTTCTGTGTCATTTTCTCATTCAGGCATCATGTCTTCTGCTGAACTCTGGGAGGTTCAAGAAGGACTTGGCAAAGAAGGAGACAGATTAGAGGCATTCAATATTCACAGACTCTTGCATGTGTGCATTCTGTCTGAACTGAGGGAAGGGGGGGGGACTTCAAAAGCTAAAAGTCTCTGTTCTTCGCATTGCCTTGGGAGACGGCCCTTGGGGGAGCACAGGTATTTCATTGATTTGGATTAGCGATTTATCTGCTTAATTTGGCTCCCCTTGAACACTGAGCCAATGAACTTATCAGGCTGGGGACTGTTTCTGTCTTTATTTTCTATTTTTTTAAGTGGCCATGACTGCTGCTGATAGCATCGCAGACACTTTTATCTGCTTAAATCCCTGAGAGGCGGCTGAACAATGGCCTGTTAGTAACTTTGTGTCACACTACAGTGTATCAGGGTGAAAAACACACACGCAGGGAATCACAAAGAAATGGCAATAAGGCAGTGTTTATGAAGGGGGAATGTCTGAATGGGGATAGTGTTGAAATGCAGAGGCAGCAGAATGGACCATCTCATTTTGCCAGAGGAAAAGAGAGTGAAAGTAATGAGAAAAGGGTGGGGGGGGGGGGGGGTGGGAGAGTAGCAAGGGTGGCTGAGTGCGGCGGTGCAGCAGCAGCAGCAATGAGAGCGAAAGGGAGGAGAAGCGGAGATTGGTCGTTGCAGAGTGCAAAAGCAACAGGATGATGGAGAGCAGAGGCATGGAGGAGCATAAACACTACAGCCGGGGTAATTAAAGGCTGTTTACCCTGACATGCTGGCAGGAGCCAATTGATTGGCCCATCCTCAGTGGGACCCTCTGCACCACTATAAATCCTAGTCCCTGTCTTACTCTCATACCGTGCTTCCTTCTCATCATTACCCTTCATATCCATAACCTACATCTTACTGCTGACACAGGACTGACGGGTGAGATTTAGATGACGGGGGTGGGTGGGTAGATCAAAGTGGCATGCTCCGGCATTGAGTAGAAGCCAATGCAGAAATGCAAAAAAACTGTAGGTCCTCAAGTGTCCACTTGAGACTGGATCCAAAAGCCCCGAAAGACACTTAACCTCATATTAAGATGCCTGTTTTGACAGCAGATATAACATGTTTATAGTAAATTATCTTATTTATCAGGGGTGTCGTAGCTGTTCGCTAGGAGGCTTAAGGCCCGTCTCAGCTCCACCTCTTGCTTTTTCTCGGTTGAACAAAAGTGAGGTTAAGACAGCCTTTTTCAATAAGGCAACTGCCGCCAGTGGGCTTCAAAATGACCCATCAGTAACGAACAGGTGATGTCACTGAGACTACAGCCATGTTTTATACACTCTATGGGTCTATCAGAGCCTCGATAGGGGGGAACAGCTGAAATGCCCACCCTGCAAGTACATTAATAGCAGTCATGTATTTCACTGCCACAGCCACTGCTCTCCTGACAGACAAATAATCTCCTTCCGTAGGGAGCGAGGATGAGCATGTGGAGCGGCAGTGGGAGGAGGAATAAAGAGAGGAAGACACAGGAATGCTCAGGACTGTTCAAGAGTTCATTTTGCATTCCAAGTGTTAGATAAGAGAAGAAAAAAAAGCCTGGAGGCAGTTGGAACGAAATATGCAGAGGAGCTGAGAAACAAACTGAGAGGTATATGAATTTAATCTCAGTGTAAGGCCAGACTGCCGCGCTGGGAGATGTGAGTGTGCGCGAGTGCCATTCTCACCTTGGAGGACACGATCCTGTTATCACAGAACTTGGGTGGGATGAAAGCCTCATTGGTTGAAGATGAGCGATGGCCAACGTAGATAGTTCGACTGTCCACTCTTCTCTCATCGCCGCCAAGCTGGAGGAGGCGGGAAGCAGAGGTGGGAGGGGATGAAGATGAAAAGAGAGGAAGAAGGAGGCATGTTTGAGTCATTTAAGGTACTTCTCTTCAATAAACAGAGATTAGACTTGGAACCTGCATGGGAAAATCTCAAGAGATAAATGACAGTAACTTGAGAGTAAAGGCTTAAATTGTCTAAGCTAACTATGAGGGATGTAGAATAAATCAATAAAAACATGAATGAATTGTTATATGGTTCTTTGTTATTTCAGCTACAGAAAATCCACAATAATCACCAGGGCTTTGTAGAGGCCATAAAACATTTTACAGTGTGATGAAGCCTAAAGTCCACCCACAGGTCAAGAATTAAGAGATTAGAACTTCTACTGGGGTGCAGAAAATAAAAAAAAAAGACTTTGGAAGCACTCTACTGGACAACAATTGAGCACCAGCCAATGCCTCTGAGAGGGGACAAAGAGAAGTATGACAAGGGTCAGCGGGCCAAAATGAGGATCGCGCGAGGTCTATAACTTAATTTCTTTTCTCCTAGGTGGTCACTCATCGATGATAAACGAGTAATAAATGCAGGCAGCCAAGAGAAAAACGCTGTGCTCAGATTTATGGGTTGAGCTGTCTTGTTGTGATGCAGATGGCAGGGTGATAGGAACTGTACACACACACTTACTCGCGCGCACACACACACAGACACACACACACAGCTAAAAACACACACAGACATATGTGCACACACGCATCAACATTAGGTGGCCTGAACATTCCTCTTCCATATAAGGCAGGTGGATCACAAAGCAAGGCTGAAAGTCGGGTCGTTCTTCCACTTTATTTTACGGTACCCTTGTGTTAAATGTTATAAACAGTACATTAAAAATGATGAACTAAAAAAATAGTTTAAGAATTTCAAATGTAAAAGTTATTCCTCCACTGTGTGTAACTGCAATGTTTATTCTTCAACATGAGGCTGTTCTTACACACCACTTATTAACTCCAAGTGGAAAAATGTATTCATTAACATTCTTTGAAGGCTTGAGAGAGATTGAATTATTAAGTTCTACTAAAGATTATAAAGCAGCATTGTTACAGTTTTACAATAACACTGGTTAAGTAAGAGGATTTCACGTGGACTGGTCAGGTTTGAACAATGCTGAGTCTGTTTAATAAGGCCAGAAGGATCAGCCAAACACAGACACAATATAGCAGACACAATATAGCATAATGCATTATTATAAAAAAAAGATTCACTTTAATGTACTTGGAAATTAAATGAATCAGGAACGTACACAAGCATACTTTGTTTCCTGAAGAGTGCAGCCTAGAAATCTTTGCCTTGCTGTTCTTTCAATGGCCTCAATTTCTGTCCTGACTTTGGCTTTGGGGGGGAACAACCACAAGCAAAGGCTGGATGATCATGATAGCACCAGAGCCAGAACACTGGATCAGCTAGAGCTACTAACTGGACCCTTATTTGTTTCCACCTGCTCTTCTTTCTTATCTTCAAGGATGTTCCTTATCTCTCCCGCTTTCAAGGGTAAATAACACAAAACATACTTAAGATCTTACTGTGATAAGCTGTTGACCATTTTAAGTACCAAACCAGGTATGCATCATTTAAGCAATTTCCCGGGGGTAAAACGATCTTAAAAAGGTCCCATTTAAGAAATCCTGAGATGCTAAATAGAGATAAATTGTTGATAAAAACATTTGGATTTGTTCATCAAGTGCTCTGTTTTATTTGTGTATGATGGATTTTGATAATCATTTGCTTGTAATGTACATTTGACCAAAAATGTTGACATGACAGATGTTTAACCATCATGGACTTGAGCTAAGCTCTTTTCTAGTCTTCCAACTACTCCAAGCACTTTTACACCACAGGTCAAACCCACCCAATCACACCCTGATGGTAGTGATCGCTATGTAGTATCATCCATCAGAAGTAACTAATCCCATTCACACCAAGGAGCAACTTGGGGTTAAGTGTTTTGCCCAAGGACACGTTGCACAGCTGGGGATTGAACCCTTGACCTCCCGGTTGAGAGGCGATGACTCTACCAACTGAGCCACAGCCGCCCCATCACTGGCTTCATCATCTTCTTCCGAATAGCTCAGAGAATTTGGTCGCTGCTGATCCCAAGCTCTGCAGCGGCATCATGAGCATATGCTCTTCATACTGAAAATACCTGTAATTTGGGACATTTTACTCACTTTGTTTTTCTAGTCCATATTTTATTCAACAATGTACTGGAACTGATGAGATTCCCATCTGGTGTTGTTAATAATTTAACAAGTAACTCGGTGGATCTTTTAAAAAAAAGACCACATGAAGTCTGCATCTTGTTTTGTTTTTAGCTCACCTATTCTCGTGATTTTCGCTGTGGCTGGGAGCTAACGGGATATACATGCACACGTCGAGCAAATACACACAATCAATTAACATGGGTCACCACGATCAATTTTGAAAACAAGTTAAGTTCAAGCTCTATTCAAACATTATCATGGATACTTGGAAATGACAAGTATCACCACACATGTGGGCCTGCATCATAAAAAAATCCCCTTATCTCAGTAATATAGTTTATTACCCTCTTTCATGTATATGTTGCAAACTATCCATTCGTTTCTCCTCCAACAGTAAAAAAAAAAAATATTTTTTGGTAGAAAATATTACCAAAACAGGACCCATCATACCAGTTCTTACAGGAGCTGCGCTTTCAGCTCAAATACAAGTTGTGCAGCCAATACTGCGTCTGTTCATTATTATAGGTTTTGCAGGCAGGGGATCTGTTTTCTCTCACACAAAGGCCAGCAACATGGGGGTTGAGGAGTAAAATTACCATTAACATCTGATACTGGACAGGCGCCAGGGATGGTGTGAATTATGGCTGCCTGGAGAGAGAGCTGCAAAAACTCTGTTGCTGATGAGAGGTTAGATCAAAGAATAACCTCAAACACCTAACAATCTTATTTATGCATGTATACATATAACAGCTAACATAATTCCAGTTTGCACAAAAATTTGCTTCTCATTAATTGTGCAAAAATAAAGGCCAAATTCTTCATTTTGAAATAATAATGGCTCGGTCTTGAGTACCGAGCCAACAGGGCTTACACAGTGCTCCCTTGTACATGAGCAGCATTGCTCACACCTCAGTATGTCTGTCAAATCTACCATCCCCTACCCGCTCGGTACACACCGACACTCCTTGGATGAAGGCAGAGAGAGTGGGAGGAAGAAAAAGTGTGGGAGAGCAAGGAAGTATAACAGGATGCAAAGACACAAGGAGGATATCCAGGTTTTCAATATCAAAGAACAAGCGCTCAAGAACAGCAGTAAGCCAAGAACAACCCCATGGACTACCTTGTTCATTTATTTGAATCAGATGCTGTGTAGCTGGAAGTTACACTTCATCTGTGCAATCTATGAATTTAATATAAGCATTCCTAATGCCAACACCTAATATAACATTTAAAAAAGCAGTGCAAGAGCAGAAGCAATCACGTAGCCTACTACAGGCTGTACAGACAAAACATGAACTGCAAGCACAGAAGAATTGACAAAGCAAATTAGCCTTGAGTCAGAGGACGTGCAAAGGGCTCTAGCTTCAGGATTACAGGTCAGACAGTCAACAGGAATAGTTGGCTGGCTTCCCCTGAAGTGCCAGTCTTTTAACTGTACCCATCTCTTTAAGATTGATTATGCACATGAGCCACGCTGAAGCATACAGTTTCAAGGTCAAAGGCCTAATAACAAAGTAAACACCTGGTTTTATGTACGTAGATTTAGTTAACATTTGCTGCAATCTACAAAAGCGAGCTCTAGCCTTCAGAGAGGATTCTCACAAAGAAATGTTGGCACATACACACTCATAATTCAGGCTGACAATTTCATTCTATATAAATGAGAACTTCTCCATGCCCTGGAGCGCCAAAGATAACAAAGAAACTATTGAATGGTCATTGATTTAGAGGTGGATTCCCAGTAGAAATATATTGAGGGTCAGACGATCAGGCCCTACTTCATTTTGGAGCATTTACGTGATTGCAATGCTCATCCACAAAATAGTGATCTAAAGGCCACACAAGAAATGCTAATGTAAGGAAAAAATGGAACGGATTACATTATCTTTGCCCCTTTTCAAAGGTCAAACAAAACCATCGATGCAATGATGTTAGCAAGTAAAGCAAAAGTGGCTGAGAGTCAAGTGCCGGTATTTCAATACCAAACAGTGGGTTTATCCCTGATGAAAAAGCATCAGCTCCATAACGTGAATGAGGATTAATAAAGCAAACATCCAATGCTCAATTGAGCTGAAACGTAAAGCTCTGTCAGAAACAAACCGTGCATTAGAGCATTGGTTCCCAACATGGGGTCAGGGCCCCTGGGGGTGGGAGGGGGTGGGGCTCAGTCTTTCTAGATAATCCAAGGAACATTGGGAACATTCATAAATATAACATGCATTCAAGGACTAAAACTTTGCATCAAATTATGCTTTAAATTGAGTTATGCATACATTGAGCAAATAGCACGGGGCAGGATGGGGGGAAAGGTTCTTCACTGGGAGCAGAAGCATTCATCTTCTGCCAAACTCCAAATGATGACTCAGGTCTTATGACACAGCGTCCTGTCACACCATCTCACTACTCGGTGACTATCCTGCTTTGTCACAGGCTGCATGCTGTTAGCAGAACACAAACATGTACACTGTGGTACTAAACCATCCAACAGGAACTTTCTGACAGGAGCTTTGCGCAAAAACAAAACTACATTTTTATATCATCTTGAAACAAGACAGTATGTGACTTCTAGGAATCTCCTAACCACAATTACATCAAAATGTACATTGTATGTAATTTAATGTCATAATGTAAAATTGCTATGAAAGTTCATTGTTAAAAAAGGGCAGCATTGCTGAGGAAGCACTGACATGACAAAATCCTGTTCACACTCACAGGCAAGGAAAGTTGCACGTGTAATAAGTTTCATAAGGAAGCTAACTTAA